GCCAAAATATGCACCCTATAATGTCACTATTACATCAAAATCCCAGCATGGGCAGTCGCATTTGTTGGAGGTGCAAACAAACACTTTGAAAAATAGGCTTTAAAACTTCATTATAATTGTCAGGCCATCTGCTCAGCTGAACTGATAAAGGAGGTTCTACGACTTATCTGTTTGTCAGCAGCAGTTCACACCGAGAAAACACACAACATGAGGCAGAGGGAACCAGAAAACAAAACACTTCAACTCGGCTGAGGGTGGAAGATGCAAACATTCTGTAGCTGCTTGTGTATTATGTAGATTACAGTTACAACTAAATAGTATATTTACAGAGAAAGTCACCGAACCTCATCTGCATACCAACAGTCTTTATTATAACACACATCTGAGTTAAATTTAACATAAAAACAAATCAAAGTGCTAAACAGCATGTTGCCCATGCCAGGTTTTACTTCACCTTCTATAAAATCTCACCACCAATAGAAACCAGACTTTCTCTTGACTTCAGCACCCTGGAAAGCACAACCCACCGCAATCCTAACAATATCATTGTAAATCATCCAAAAACCACACACCACATTATTATTGGAACATCCCTAATAAAGATCAAGAAAAGGCATTTCCTATTTGCCTACATCTACATTTAAATTAAAATAATCATTTCATTAAAATCAAACATGTCAAATGTAGCATCAAAGGTTTAAGGTATTAAGGTTGTTACCTGACACATTCTGCATCTGCATGACGGTGGTCACTTGGATGGATTGCTCCTCAGTGGCTGCTGTACTTGGAGTGGTGGTTGTGTCAGCCACAGCTGAAGACATGGGAGCGAATGTAAAGAACTCTGTGCCAATCTCTGTTGTGGTGTCTTCCTCTGTCAAGGTGTCACCGCTCTGCTCTGCTACCAGAGTGATGGACTCATCAAAAACAGTCATTGACGATGTTAGACTTTCAGATGAGGTTCCACTGTCGGTCAGAACGGTGGCGGATGCCACAGATACAGGAGTGGTCTTGTCCTTATCGGCAACAGCTGGCGTCTCTACATCCTGGCTTTGAGCTGTGGTTTGTGTTGTCTCTGGTGGTCCTGTGGTCGAGTGGCTCACCTCTTCGCTGGGTTTGGTGTTACACATAAAGGTGGTGTCAGTGGGAATGGCAGTGGGGATTGTTGTACTATCAATGCTACTAGTGCTCTCTGACGGGCTGGATGGTAGCTGAGGAGGTGGAGGGCCCTCTACAACCAAACCAACCTCAATCTCATCCATGCTGGGATCGTAATCTGGGAACGCTGTTGTTGATTGAAGCTCAGTGAGTGAGGGTGTTGATTCTGAGGAGCTGAACACTTCCTCGCTGGTCAGTTCGGTCGATTCTGTCGGAGTGTCTGTGAGGTCAGAGGTCATGGCTGTGGTTATCGCAGCACCCAGAATAGTTTCCTCAGTCTTCCCCTCTGCAAACATGGGCTCAGTGCTAATAGAGGCTATTGTGATGGCAACATCGGGTTGGATTGTGCCGACCTCAATCACTGAGTGATCGTTGGGCTCCTCAGTGGGCTCAGAGACTGATTCTGTGGTATCACTGCTTTCTGTTGCGTGGGGAATTTCTGGCTCAGGTGTTGTGTCATCATGTTCCTCTCTGATGGTGGGTGCAACTGTGGTGATTAACTCTTCTTCTTCTCCTGCAGGAGTGGAGCGAGGTGGAGCCATACTGGTAGAGAACATAGATGGAACATTTGAAGGAACTGAAGAGTCTGGAGATTCATCCTCTGATACAGTTACAGATTTAGGGGTTAGCGTAGGGGCGCTGCTTTCTAGTAAAGGGATGGAGGTAGTGGAGCTGATGGTGGTGGACTGCACCACAATCACATCCACAAAGGACATCTGGTTGATCACCTCTCTCCTTCCTACAAAACACACATAAGCATGCACACATAAGAAATTGACTCAAATGTTAAACATATTGTGTGTGATGTGTGAAAAACTAATATAGTCTTTATAAGATATTACAGACAAAGCAATAGTATATGGGTCAAGTCGTATGTACGGTGGTTGAGGCATCTCAAGCGCAAACACAAATGCAAAAGCCACAACACAACTGCAAAAGCCATACAACGGAAACACAAACACAACGGAAGTCAGCGATAATGGATGTTGACAATGAAGCAAGCAGAGTAACTTACTGTGGTCGTAAGAACCATTGTTTGTAAAAAAAAAAAAAAAAGTAGGACTAACCAATCACTGCTTAAATTGCAATGTTTCTCTATTGAAGGTGTTACAATACAGGTTCTTCTTCTTTGGGTGCTTGAGGCACCTGCATCGTAACATCTCAAACAGACAAACATCAAAGATTAAGCGGCGACTGGCTTGTTCGAATTTTCACAAATGACTCACTTGACCGCATTAGGTAACAGTGCTTGTTTGAACGTCTGTTTCTTTTGTAGTTCTATTGTTACATTTGCATTCATGTTTTCCGTTCATGCACCTGCGGGCTACTTCTCAGCCACCATACGTATGAGTCAAATAGTAGTTAAGGAGCAATGTGCCAAAGCTGCAATAACAGTGTTTTATTTATTTTGTTCTAGTTTCCCAGAAACCGTAAGGTGAAGGACTTTCTATCCTAACTCTTCATTTTGTTTATAACCAGAACCAATATTAATTCTGACAGTGTTTTCAAAGACACAGTGGAACCAACCTTATTTGACCCTACTTAAAGTCAGAGAACCAATTTTAATATGCATTAGGGTGGTTGGCAGATAACCTCAATTGTCGTGAAGTACTGGTGAAGCAAATAATATAATGTTGACTTAATAGTCTTTCTCTTGTACATGATTAAATCAGATATTAGGTCATTATCTTGATGAAGATGAGGTCATTTTTAAAGTTTTGTTCCCAGGAGTGCTTTGCAAGTTTCTCTCAACATTTCCTGATCTGCCTGATCTTGGTTGCTCTGACTATTTCTGTCCTCTATCGTACACTATGCGCTATCTGTCCTCCAACAGTTGTTTTGCTTTTACTATTTTTGGTCCAACATCTCTCTCCAATAGTCCTCAAATGCTCGCTAATGAACCAGTCTACTTAGCTCTTGAGGTTTTATTGAGTATTTACGTTTTTCTTGAGCGCGTCTCTTCCTCCCTGCCCCTCTGTCCTCCAATGCGCTCTCATTTACTCGCGCCCATAAAAAGTAGTGTAGCAGCTTTAGAGAGCTCTCCTCTGTGTGCAGACAGTTTGTGTAAAGCCAGCTGTTGACCATTATGTACTAACCCTCTTTCTTCATCAAACTGTTTCTGATGTGAGGTGTGACACAGGTTTTTCCCTAACAGGAAAATAGGGCCTCTTCTCAGAGGGAGTGCATTATCTCACTGATGCATTTGAGCTGTTGCTCTTACTGAAGTCTTTGTTTTCTTCTCGGCCAATGCAGACACCAATCAGACCAATTATCCCCCATTTCCTTTTGCACTGACCTCCTCTCTCCCTGTCTAACTGTGTAGTCTAACGGACATAGGTTTACATCATATTTCTTCTCTGAGATATTATTGGGAGTGGGAAAGCAGAAAATGATGGAGTGAGTCCCACCAAACACAGGTACTTGAAAAGCACTTAGACGGGGGTGTAAATACAACATGAGTGAGAGGGCTGACATGGAATACACAGAGCAGGAGGTGAGGGTGGCCTGTTTGTGTGCCCTCTGAACTCCAGGGGGACTTATCACTGCGAGAGTTAGCATGGCTCAGGGGCAGTTAATGGCCAGGCAGGGGACGGCTTATCTACCCAACCTCTCATTTGTAAAGATGGAAAGGCCAGGTCAGGGGTCACCAAGGATGACTGAATTTAGAAGTCCAGCAGTAGCTTTGTCCATTATCCAAATGTCTGCTCTGATAAGTACAAGTGAGAATGACAGAGGACAAACTTCTGACAGCGGAAATGAGAGGAGAAAGGTGAAAAGGGAGTAAGATAGTGAGACTAAAAAGGCTGACAGGTGTGGTATTAGTTATTTTTGCTGCTTTTCTAAATGGCGGCTATCATCAGTCATTGGGTTGCGCCCTCAGGATACTGGTTAGCTAAGAACACTTCACATTTTGAGGGATTAGCCTAATTCTGCTAACTGCCAGTGAACCATGAAGTATCGCTATTTATAGAGATCCATTGCAATGCAACATTTTCTACCCAAGGTCACTAATCATGACAGTTTATATTGGTTTTTAGAAGTAATGAATGATGGATTTCTACAACTCCATCACCTTGATTTTTCTGGTTTCGACTGGAGTTTTATGAGTGGAATCAATATTAATACAAAATATTCATAAATCTGTATATTGTGTAAAATAAGTGTAATAAGTAAAATAAGTGCAGTCCCAAACTCTCAAGGAAAACTATTCATTATAATTCTCCTTATTCTTTTTCTCTCCATTAGATTTGAACTGTTGTGTCTATTGTTTTCAAAGTAGACAAGTATGATTTTGTCCTCTTGGGTAATTGTGTTGCCATAGACATGGGCAGGACACTAAAATGTGAGACAGTGATGTCAACTGGACGCTGTGAGACTAGTCTGAACCAAAATGCTCATGAGAAAACCATTCCTCTTCTTTTCTGTGGTTGTTGTTGTTGTCTTTGAAACTATAAATATAGCAAGAAACAGAGACATAAAGTAAAATGGACACTGGATATGCAGCAGATATTTTAAAAATATTTTTTAGATGTTGGTCTAGTGTATTGGAGGGAATGTGTTCAATGGTGCAAAGAAGTAGAAAGTTAAAGGGTGGAGGATCTGAAGTAAATACACAAGATGAGATCATAGCTGCTTACAGCCCAGGCCTGCTTGACAAGGAAAAATGTGTGCTTTCAATCACTGTCTGTTTTTCATAAACCAAAAAATAAATAAATAAAAACAAAATAAAAACATATATATGTGTGTATACAAATAGAGAATTTGCCTGAACGTGTGCAGGCAATATTTTCCATGATTAATTGTAAATCTGCTAAACAACAACAAGAACCTTGGAGTGAGCTTACCTCTGAAACAGTAAGCTCCAAGCTTCGTAGATGGTTCTGGGAAGCCAGTCTGGTTTCTGTAGCGATACATGGTCCTGACACCAAGCAGGCCCCCCCCACACTTCATTCTGGGTAATGCAACAGGATGTCTTACGCTGCCGTCAGAGAGCCAGCCATAGTCACATCTGTCCAGGCCCTGTCGCCAGGCAGCATGGAGCTGGCCAGGGGTTGCCAAAACAGATTTTCTCCTCTTGCACTCTACACGGGCCTCCTCTAAAGTCATCTTATGTGTCACAGGAGCATAAAACACTTCACCTACAACAAAGAGAGAAAAATGACTTAATGCACAAGCACAAAGTCAAAAGCAAACATTATGACAAATTGTCAGTGATCGCAAAAACTAAATCTGATTACAGTTGTTTCATATTTCATTTTAGATTATTTGAAATGAAACCCAGACTAAAAAGCTTACTATTTGGAGTAATCTCAAGATGCAGATTTCTGACCTTTCAGACGAGACATAGCCCAAAAACAGCTGACAAAAGTCACAGCTGTGCAGGGCACAGACCCAAAACATCTCCCACCGATCATATTCAGGACAACAGTAGTTCATTCATTGCATTAGTGTGAGGTGGGATAGCAATGCAGATAATGTGCCTGGCCTGTCAATGAACGTGTCTGTACTTCAGGACATTAGGTTTCCCCTCAGGGGGGAGTGAACTGAATTACACCTTCAGTGTTTCCTTCCTTCATTATATTCAAGTCAGGGTCTCCTCCTCAGAAATGCGCTATGAAAATTAATACAATTGCATATATTATATCCTACCTTCAGGAATATTATAAGTGAAACACTATAGTAAATCAAGATCTCAGCTGAAGCCAGATAACAAGCGAGGATGATGTGTTTTTGGGTGTTGGGTGTAACATTTTAAATATCCCATGTTGGTTACATCCCATTGATTTACAATGGCATTGAGATTAGGAGATATTTTCCACCCAGATATGTTCTTGCTTTTAAAAGCAGACAGGAGACATAGAATAACCAACATACAGTCACTTTCTACAACTAAAACCCCCTATTATATGTAGTGATTTTACTTTAGATCTTCTTCACTTTAATTATTTCACTGATGACACCGGTAAGGTATTGGCTGTTCTATTTTACAAAAACTTATATCTTATATCTATATCTCAAACTCTTCTAGGAAATAAGAGAAAATTGATATAATATTAATATAATAATTATTATTATTATTTATTATTATTATGACAGTAATTAAAGATTCTAAAACGCATACCGATGTAAACACAATGTGCCAATAAAGTGTTTTATGCTACTTTCTATCACCAATTATGCATGCAACTAACTGAAGTTACCTAGTAAATCAAACTCATTGACCCTTAAGTTGAGTATTGTGATATATGTGTGGGAAAAATAACACACCATCCCATCATATGCAACAATCCAAGAGGTTGAAGTTTGGTTTCTTGCAGAGACAATTCAAATATATACTCTGCATTTGTGTCCCTGGTGGTTGTAGGACAGGGGGACTCAATTATCTGTATCTGCTCATAACTCTGATCATACAAATGTCACAATACTCACTACATACTACATTTTCACATGTAATTGGTTTGCAACTTGTGCCGTGGCTGCACAGCACACATCCCAGCTACAGAGGACTGACTCGAGTAGATGTGTCAAGAGGGAATGGTAACACTCGTAAAAATCTGAGAGCAGTTCAGTCCATCAGCAGAAACAGCCTGAATAATGAACAGCTTGAAAGGACTGTTGGCCGAGAGGGGAAAACTTCCCATGAGCAGTGCCAAAGACACTTAAAACACCCATTATCACATATTTTGGTGAGTTTTCCAAAAACCACTATGGTGGAGAATAAAATTTTACTTTCTGCATCAGAATCTGGTTATTGGAAGCTTCTCTCTTACCCCAACTCTCTTTTTGCAAAACCTGAAATTGTTTGGCACAACAAAATATATAAAAAAAGTCTCACATTGTCACCAGTAATATTTTCAAACAAAAACAATCAAGTGTATTTCCCCAGCGGTAGTATAATAAGCTGTAAAAGTAATTTGCTTTGGCACTGTGATGGTTTGGAGGTTTCGTCATTTTAGCCAAAGGGTGTGTCAGTGCCTCTTAACAACACCTCATCTCTTAGAGGGAAAAGGCTTAAATTTGTGGCTTAACTTACCATCAAGTTTATCTACGTAACAATATACATCATAGGTCTCTGTTGGTTTCCTGATGCCATATGTCCTAATGCCAGGTTTGGTCTTCAGGTTGCCATAGCAGCCGTTCCTTGGCTGGATAATGGGGTATCTATGCAGGGAGAGAAAAGAAGATGCTTTATAACACATAAGTTAAACCCAAGTTATCCGTGTGCTAAAGTATTTTACATCACATCAGAACACGAGCAAAAATATATCGTGATAGAAATTGCTTTTAAAAGAAAATTGAAATGTAGCTGACCTCACTGTCTGATCAGCGATCCAGCCGGCATCACATTGGTCAAAGCCATCCTCAAAGGCTGCTCTCAGTTGGTCATATGTGGCAATGGTTGCTCCAACATTTTGGCATGTTCTGACAGCGTTCTGGTAGTCCAGTGTATATCTGCTGATGCTCGCCCGGTAGTGAAAGACAACACCTGAAAACAAATAGTTACAACAACAAAAAAGAAATGAAGCATAAAGTGGATTTGTATTGTGATCTGGAATTCATCGACATAATGTCAGCCCCATAAATTATAATGTCTCATAAAGCACATAGCATCAGTGGAATGATTGAGTTTCTCAGTTTCTTTGGAAAGGAGGAACTTTGCAATAAACCAATCTGGTAAGTAAAATACAGTTCACCACAAATGAACAAGATAAGTGCAGATGATGCCATGGCCCTGAAATCCCCATATTTGTGGACAGTAAACTGACGCGGAGGACATGATTGATAGTCCTAATTAACATTGCAGATATTTGGGAAAGAGGTTGTGAAGATCCTTAACCAGTGGAAAGCAAAACTATCTCAGTTTACCCCCGCTCCACCCATGTTTACTACATCCCCCAAACATGAGTTATATCTCCCAGAGTGCTTATCAAGTGAGAAAATGTAGAATATACATAATGACAAGAGGTAAGGACCGGTATCCCCTTTAACGAGACTGTGACATTTGACTTAGTGGTACTGCACTATCTAGTGGTGCATTATCATATAAATAATTTAAACCTTGTTTGAAGTTTATATTGGGGAATTCCATCTTATCTCAACGATGGTAAAGTTAAAAAAAAAAAGGCTGACAAACAGCCTCTGAGGGCCCCACCAAAGAGAACAATCTCCACTGACAAGGTGGCACCCAAGATGACAAGGATGCATGAGGTTATGCAGCGTTTGCTTTGCCCATTCAAACATCTGGAATGTAATCCACATATAGTTACACATATGCACACTGGGATTAAAACGTTGCAGTACTTGGTATGGACAGGGACCCGCAGTCTCATCAAGACTCTTTTTTCAACAATGCATTGACTCTAAAATAAGAACAACTAAAAACTGTGGTTACTCTGTGTAACTACTGGGTAGGGGCTGCTATCAAAGTAAGCAGAAGGGCGTCCATAGTTGTCTCATTCCGTTTACATTTCTATCACCACTTGTATTCCATTTCACTATTATTAAACCCTTGCAGCAACCCCCTCTGCATTCAGAGAGTTTGGGGGGAAGTTATTTCAAGCCTTTTGTCTGTGGGAAGGATATCATGGACGTCTTACCGTTGACATCTAGGTCCACTGTATCCTGGGTGTCTTCAATGCCGTACATGACCTCACAGCGATAAGTGCCCGCGTCACTGGCACGCAGCTTCACCACTGTCAGTGAGGCGTCACCGACGTCCTCCGGGTGACTGGGGACTGACACACGGTTCCTGTAGATGGAACCTATCTTGATGACGCCATTTTGTGCCACCAGCACTGTGGATTCCACTTCCCCCACTATTTTGGTCCATTTGATCCGCAGGTAATCTCTGCTATAAATGGCAGTTCCGTTGGGGCTGATGACCGGCGCTGAGGTTGGGATGGTGGAGAAGAAGCAGGGAAGATTTACCTTCCCTGAGAGGGACCCAGTGACCGGTCTGATTATCGATAACGAGTTGGAGGCTGGAAGGCAAAAACACAGAATGGTAAAATGCAACTTAAATATATATGACTTATTTGTATTTCTGCTGTGATTCATGTGTCTTTTTTTATTTTCCTTTCATTCAAAGCCATACATCACCTGTTTACTCTCACCCTAGCAGATACAAGTAAATACTATAAACGGCCCGACTCATTAACATTGTCAAAATGTGTAACACCAACACATGCATCATGCCCTGAAATGGCTCTTGGAAAGTCAAACTTCATCCTTAAAGTGGTGGGTGTGGGAACACACTGACTGCAGTGTGTGTAGCATGTTTGTTACGAGTTGAAAAAAATGAAAGATAATTGGTTAAACATGGGAGTTATGGTTGCATTACTTCATGTTATAGCACTGCTGGGTTCATGTTCGCTTTGCTTCTCTGCTTCATCAAAACACAGGAGGACTAAATGATGGTGACAGGTAGACGCACACTACACAAAGTGTCATCAGCTTAATGTGCCCTGAGCAGTATAATGTATGTCACCTCTTATGACCTTCTATTCTGTTCTCAGCTGAAAACGACTTCTCAGTACAGGGTAAGGATAAATCATCTTATCTTACATCTTGGATATTCTGGTGCAATAACCCGTCTGCTATTTCACTGCCCCCAGACCAAACAAGGTTAACAATTACTGTTCTTAATCCCACTCCCCCCCTGAGCGCCGTCCACATTTAAAACAGTTTCTCAATCCCATTCCATTTCTGTGAGAAGCATGTGGTAAAGCGAAGCGGATGTCAGACAGGACGCCAGACACAAATGAATGGCAACAGGCTGAATCACACTATAGCCCTGTGAGAGGAGAGATTTTTTTTTTTTTTAGAGGGAGGGGGGATTCACAGGAACAATGTGGGCAATCCTCTGGAAACAGCGGTGGGACAACCCCAGAGGCATGAGTGTGTGCTTTAACAGAGGGTCTGATTAGGGACAAGGGGTGAAACCAGCTGTTATTTACAGACTGGGAGCAGAATCTAATTGAAAGGTGTCCACTCATACCCAGAGACAGAGCCAGGGACTGGGGGCTACAGGAAAGCCAGGTGGGCCAGGGGGGCCAGAAATGCAGAGCTCTGTGGTTATGTCACCACCTTTGAAAAACGTCTCACAGGTTTTCACAGGACGAGGACTGGAAGCAGCTCAACACAGTCTCCAACTTAGAATAGAGTGAAACCTTAATGTGACGCATCGGACACATCAGTTTGCTGCTGATATGATGTATAGAACAATTTCCATGTCAAACGATTTTCTGTTTGGTGAGGCTGACATGTGCAGTAATGGGTGGGGTGGGGTGGGGGTTAAAGAAAAAGTAGAGGGAGGGAGTTCGGGAGAATGAGCGCAGCTGAAAGGAACGACTGGGAAAAGAGGGAATTTACTCGATCAAGACTTACCTGAGGCAGCCGCAGCTTCCCAGAGAAAACATAACCACAGGATGTGTTTTATATTTAGTGTCATCTGTTGGAAAAATAAGAAAAGAGTAATTTAGGAAACTAATCTCTATCTTTATTCTTTATGTTGTTTCTTTCAGTGCATCTACATTTTCCTTTGGACATTGGCCAATACATTGTTGAGTGATATAATAGACGATGTGTCATGGAAAAGATTCAGTATTTTAAACAGCTTTTCATCATCTAAAAATCCAATATTAGTGCAGTCTAAACATTTCATTTACTGAGCAGGATTACTACATTTGTAATTTTAACAATATATAAACAAACTTTCATAGCCCATAACCAATAATGAAAAGCCCTTACATATAACAAACATCACTTTTACCTCACACTACCTGGCACAATATTTTAATTTGCCCTGGCTACATGTATGATTCTGAGGAAAATATGGTATTGCACAACAAATAGAGTTTTCAGAGAATTTGTGGGTGGCAGAGCTGAAAAGTAAAACTTCCTGTGGGGTCGAACTGCAGAGATTTTGGAGACAGGAGGACAGAAGTACAGTGAGCCCCCTGTCCTCACATGCACCCCACTGTATAAACACAAGAGGCGGCTCTCAGCGGCAACTGAGACTGCTATTCTCTTAAATACAGAGACAGAGACTAATGACAAAAGCTCATCATCTACAATATTTCAGGGTGGGTATTGGGACATGGTGCCAGTTTTCTGACACTATAGTCTAGCCTGCCCTGAGTTAGACCCACCCTAATGGAAACTAAATGAAATAAGACTTTGGCGAGACAACAACAGCAAATCCAGGTCTTAAATCCAGGTGTAAGGTCCAGGTTTACATCTCCAGTTTAATATTTCTTTCCAATTAACGTACACTGGATAAATGTTTGTAGAGTGATGCAGACTACTTGAAGTAGGCTGCAGGCTGATGCAGAAGGTTTTCTAGGAAATCGAAAAAAGATTTCAAAGAAAGAAGTGCTCAGGCATCACACAGACGAATAATGGACTGCAGATTTTTGGGAGCCAGTGGCCATTAATGCGATGCTCCCTGCCATGAAACACAGATATCTGTTACTGGAAGCAGAAAAGAATCTTAAAACTTTGATTGACTTTTGATTTGGTGATGTTTCTACAACTCTTTTTTTCGAGAAACACCTGTTGCGTGTGGATGCTCAGCAGGAATCATGGCATGACGACATAGCATTTATCATTCTATATTTCGACTGGTTAGATGTGAATACATGAGGCGTAAATCTCCAGTCTGCAGCGCTGAGTTTAGAAATGTACATGCGCGCAGCAGCGGGGCGCACCAGTAGGTTATCTGAGGACAACACGGCATCACTGGGTGCGTTCACGTTTAGACTGAATCAACAGAGTTCAGTTAACTTAAATGACTGATTTCATTTTTCAAACATTGTCTCGACATCACAATAAAATGTGGAAAATGCAGAAACTGCATGCAAACAGTTGAATTAAGATGAAAGTATCTGGTTAAGTGCAATTTCTTCACATCATATCTTAGTTCTCAGAAAACTATAATGAATTATACTTACGTTTAAAGAGGTTTTATTCCATAAAATGCACATGTATCTGTGTATGCCCTTAAATCCAGTTAGTCCCAGTGCGCAACATGCGTGCGTAAAAAGTGCCCGAATATGTCCACTCCAAATCGGCACAGCAGCACTTATCTCCCCGGTGCGCCTCTCTCTTCCTCTTGATGATCCAGAGTTCCCGGGTCCCAAAACCGGATGATCCTGGTTCTGAGCAGAGCGACAGAAACCGTCAAGTGCTGGCAAGCAACAAGTAAGCAATTTTGCTTAACTCACACTGTTATTTCGTCAGTGTCAGAGAGGAGGGGCAGAATGCCCACTGGAAAGTGAATGAGACACCTTAGGGGAGGGGGGACACCATATTAAATTTGGCCTGAGAGGTGCATCCTCATCCAATCAGACTCATCCGACAACAGGCGGATTTTTTCTCCAGGTAACGCTGTTATCTCAGAGTGACCGCGTTTCCACCGAGGAGCGCCAATTCTGAAGTTTGTCTTAATTATTGCGAGCAAATGTGAAATAATGGACACTAAATATAAAACTTTATGACTTCAGGTGTGTTGGGTTTATATCGCGTGTTGCAATGCGTGATGGATATAATGAGACACCTTTTTCTGATGAGGTCTCACATCGATGCCATGGGCAGAGCGCGCGAGCGCACCAGTCATATCACCAGTCAGTCCCATTGCGCGATGGAAACAGGGTGGTGCAGACACGACTCTGGTTGACATTGAGTCACAATCTACGGTTTATTTCAACAAGACCTTTCTGTGAGTATAGTAAGACTGTTCTTCCCATCCATCCCACTTCAGACACTTAGACCAAACGAGTTTGTCTTGGAGCCAGTAGCTCAGTATTGTTAATTTTAATTGCAGCCTATTGTCTTGCGTGTATATATGAATTCAGTGCACCGGGTGTGTGAAGGAGAAACAGAAATAGATTATCTCAAGTTGAAATGGTTTATCTCTGATTACCATGACTGCCTGACTGAAGGGACAGTGTGGACTGGATCCTCTGTGCCTGGCTGTTCCACAGGGGGGAGAGGCTGGACCAGTCTATCAGCTCTTGCCTAATAATCACCATCATTGGCTACTGCTAGATAGGTAGGAGGGATTACCTGTTTGTGTGTGTGTGCGTGTGTGTGTATGTGCACGTGTGCCTGTGTGTGTGTGTGTGGTGGTAGTCTGGCAGTGATTACAAGTCCCAGCAGTGTGGGATAAGACGTGTCTTTTCCGGTTGGTCTTGACAGTAGAACAAATCTTATCGTGCTCCTGGATTAATTGCTTTGTTATCAGCTTCCTTTAAAAATAAAATGTTTACAGGTTCAGTGTTCTACATAACAAATCTTCTCTGAGCCAATGAAACTCTAACCTGACGTGACTACGCCTCAAATTTAGATTAGAACACTGTTCACTGATCTCTAAAAGCAAAGTTTTAAATGTTAAGAGGAATAGATGTGATCAAGTTTGCTGTAACTTTGCTTTCAAATTAAAAATTCCAGAGTGATTTTAGCAGCAGTGTCAAGGGAAGCTTTGGTGTCATGTGTATAATGTTTCTTAATAAGAGCCTATAAAAGATAAATTCTCTGCACATAAATCACAACTGACAGCTACAGGTCTGGTTACTGACTCTGTAAGGGCGGACTAATTGTTGAAAATCATGGAGTTGACTTCCAAAGCCAGCCGTGAGCCAGCGGAGAGGTGATAAGCCTCTGGCAGAGAGGACTGCCTGAGGGCTCTTGTAAAAAAAAAAAAAGTCCCATGCATTGTAATCATCTCAGGGCTCAGCAACAGTTACCCACAATACATCTTTCCTCTGCAAGGCTGGACTGGTCTGGACAGCCGGACTCTGAGAAAAAGAGGAGGAAGAAAAAGGAAGGCTGGAGTTAACTGGCTGTCAATTTTAACTATTTTTAAAATTAAATATACTAAATCACAAAATGACAAAGACATTTGAAACACCAGCAGTTTGAGACGTGTTTGAACTCTGAACTCACAGAGAAAAGAAAGGTGCATGCGCAGCCATCAATAATGCACTGACAGAGACAGACAGATTTCTGATGATACAGCTCCAGGAAACAGGTTTTGTAACTTAACTAAACTGACACAGAGTTCAAACTGACCTGATTCTGGGTGGAATTCACCATCTGGCCCCCGGCATAATTGACATATACTCAGTGTTACAGGAATCGTTTTTTACTGCTCTACCATCTTCACTGACTCATCGTTAAGTTAAAAGTCGCAAGTCACTTACTGCCACGTAAAAAGGTTTCTATACTGTATGTGTAACCAAAGAAGTCCTGTTGCCTTTCAGTATCCATAAATCAATGAGTCAAAGAGCCAATCAAAGAGTGTTTGATCCTGGTGATCCGCTGTGCAGGGCCCCAAGATGACCCACATATCACATGGCCCATAAAGGTGGTCTACCTCCGGCACCATGCCACCTCAGACAGCATAAAATGGGGCATTAAATTTCTTCAACCCCAAGGGATCCCTGCTAATGAAACCCACAATGTTGAAGACCAAAGCTGTTCTGATCTGAACGTGTTTTATCGCTCACACACGGCAGCTTCTCCCAATATCAGGATTTCTGTTTGGTTCTGAAAGGAAAACATTCACTATCTCAGTGGAGGAAAAGAAAATCTGGAATGAGTGTGATGTCACAATATGTCTGAAATGTTTGCTCCTGAATAAATAAACAGACACAAAACATCCGACTAGTGGAGATTACCACATGAATCAGTTGAGCATTGCTAGAAAAGAATTATTCAATAATGGCTTGTAACAAGTCGTACGATTTAATGTAAAACCAACAGGCGTGTTATGTGTGTGTCTCTGTGAGTGAACCCGTCCATGTTCAAAGCAGAAAATGTGGGAATAACTTTTTTGCCCCTGGACAGACATGAACCTTGATCCTTTGGAGCCTAGTGTGGAGGCCCAGACCACCGAAGCTGATCCCTTCAGCTTTAGTCAGAGGCCAACAGAGGTAAGTGACAGTGCAGGGATTTTTATCGAGCTTTTTAATCAAGTTTCTTCTGAGCAAAATCAGGTCAATCTGACGGTTTTCTAATCATGTTTAGTGGTATTGTCTGAGGAGAAATATAATAATGAAAAAAATACAAAGTAAGCTTACTAATAAAATAAAGCCTGTCTGGTCTTGATATTTTTGATATTTGATTATTTGTATGTGTTAATATTAAAACACATACAACAATAACATCACATCATGTGACATATCTGAAGTTTAGCCCTCAAACATGTAGTAGTGTCCTGTTCAACATTAAAAACAAAAACAAATGCTACAAACAGATATTGGATATTTAACTTCAACTAGGGAGTACTGCACAAATGTGTAAGTAACATACTCATTGAGTTTAAATAATTCAAATTGATGTCACAGGAAACCCTGAGCTGTGATGTAATAGAAACAGAATGCCCTTCTCTCCGGCCACCTAGAACCATTTGTTTCAATGACGTCCGAACAACATAAAAATAATTAAAAGGTTAAAGACAGGGGTGAAGTGGCTGCACACGGCCACTATGAGGATGACTGCCAAAGTAACAGTCTGGAGCCCTCGATACCAGGTGTCAGTCGACAGGCAGCTGTCGGTTATGGTGGCAACAGCTGGTGGATTTCAGTCATGTTTGGTCAACTATTATTACAATTTATTAAAGGGATGTATTTCCCAGTGGGTTGGATCTCAGTGTGGATCAGCTTTCAAGAGGCAAAAGATTCAATTCAATATGCACATGTAAGCACAGGTCAGATGTAACAGACCTGTATAAACTATATACTGTAAATCATCACCTGAGAAGAGATACACAGACATCAAAGAGAGTTGTGGTGAGGCTGAATAACCACAAGGCACGTCTGTCATCCTCAACTCAACCCACATACTTACATTTTTGTCAATGTGAAACTGGGGAAAAAAGTTTCCCATCGATTACAAGATTTCATCAGATTGTGACTAAACCGCCCAACCCAAACCTTTGCGAGAAAGTCAAGCTTTAGTGGTTTTTCTTCGAGAGAACTGAGACTCTGTGAATCAATGCATCTGCCACCTTCGGGCAAACTTCTTCAAACTGAAGGGATGGCATAGGAACAAAGACAGAGGAGTGAGCAAGAGTTGGAGAAAGAAGGGGAACAGAGAAAATGATTTGATAACCAGAAACAGACCATCCCCACGTCATCGATGTTTGCCTGTTGCAGTAAATATAATGCAGCATTGTGGGAAACATTTCATCCTCATCCCTTCTGCTGTAATCAGCCTTTACATTACCTCAGGGGAGATGGGATTACAGCATTTCAAATGAAATTGTCACATTTGACAAAAATGAGTGATATATGACATTAGCACAGAATATATGAAAATTCCTCAACTTTCCATGGAAAGAGTTCCCAGAGGAGTCATCATGCATCTCACTGTACTTCAACCACAGACTAAATGGGTGTGTGAGTCAGTTATTGAGCCAGGCAGCAATTAGGTCTCAGCTCATCGATCCTTTGGTCTGTGACCAAGAGGAAGTCAAGATAATAGCATCGTGCATTCCCAACTTAAAGGCATTTTGGTTTCTTTGGTTACAATTATTATTTTAAAGTATGTTCGGGGAAAACTGCAATCAAACCCTGTTTTAAAATCTGTGGGTGGTAAACACAGCATATAACATTGCTCTGAGTTTACTGTACATTACTGTACATTGGGCGGGTGTGTAGAAACATGAGAAATATGAGTGACTCTATGTCTCTGTGGCTGGATGCATTATAGGTCATAAACCCTGCCGCCGCCGTGTTAGTAAATGAGACATGGGCCAAACTAAAAAGTCAAAGTACACTTCAAATAATTTTATCTCAATGTTTATTTTCATTTCAGGTAGGTTTTATCACATGGATGTATCTTCATGTTTCTGATAAGCTTGGATTTAATTCGTTTTTTGATGCCATAACATCAGAGGGGAAAAGTCATGATTGACAGCCATATATATATATATATGAGACAGAGAGAGTTATTTGTTATATAACACCTTTCGTAAAAAAGTTTCCAACTTCTTCACAAAAAAAGTGAAAAAGTGAAAAAAAGAGAAAGTCTCGAGCACACTGCAGTAGGTCGCCTTTATCACACTCTTAATATTCAACCACCATCCTGTAAAAACCTGCAGGACATTTGGTTAATGAGGCCAATCACTTCACAACAGCATCTAAACGAGGACCCACTCATTACTTGTGATGATCAAAAGGCTGTTTTAACCACTGGGCTGAAACAAAGCTGATACTCTTTGCCACGTGCAAAACTTGTATAGGCCAGATCAAGGGACGCCTCCATGACTGGAAGACGAGTCAGCATTAAATGTGGAGAAGAGATTTCTGTTTGGCTCGGCCACTGAGCGAAGCAGCCAGAGAAGATCTGCAATGTGTAGTGTCTGACTCTATACAATATCATGGGGCTTTTATGGTTTAACTGAGGGAAGCTTAACACTTTATCTTAGAAATTATCAATGGATATCAAACATCTGGTGATGTCTTGTTATACTAGAAGATAAGGGCTGTAGTTGTATGAACAGGTAACACAAAGACCGCTCTGTCTCACCACAGCGCTGTGGCAGGGAAGGAGGAAGACTCCAGTCATTTCCCCGGACGATGGGAATCCTACAGGTGCACACAGTAAGTGAATGACGATGATAAGCGAGTGACTGGATGTTTAATTTCAGGTTCGCACAGCCATCATCACTCGCTCACAGTGTTAACCCTCTCTGTTAAAGGAGCCTGTGTATGGTCGATATTGATCGAGGCTGCCATGGAAGAGGGCCACAAGGTTTAAATGTAAAATGTGGAGAAAACCAATGAATTCATCTCAATATAATTTATGGCCTTTGTGCAGGTTGGTGCTACAAAATCGGACGTTCTCAATGTATAAAGATAACAGCCACACCCGCACTCCAGATACAGAAGTACACCGTGCACCAAATGGCAAAGCAGAAGTGGCAAAATCAAATTTCCGATAGCTCATGAAAGCTTTTTACTTGAGTAACATCTGCATCTTTATTTTCAAATAATTTCTGTGTATCTGAAAAAAAACATTTCATCGTCTGTAACACTTCCCATATTTTATTCTCAATAGAAATTCAGACGACTTCCTCGGCATACTTCAGGCTTAGCCAATAAACACTTGTGGATTTACACTTAAATTTGTGCATGGATCCCTTACACGATAAAATCCTTGGACACATCGAGGCGTTCAGCTAAATTTATCTGAACAATCTAATTCAGTCCTCATTCAGTCCTCACCATGATTCAAGATTCAGAAAATGCACAAGGCTAAAGTACTGCAATGTAAAATGTATATTTCAGTAAAGCTAACAATAAATCACAGGCTTTATCTGGTGAAACATTTCACAACACATATTTGCAAAACTTGAAAAACATTTATAAACATTGATAGCTCCTTAGTGTATTTTTAATACACAAATAAAATCCAATTAAGAAATCAGTTAACTGGTTGAAAATGGAAATATTTACAGTCTTTACCAGAGACAAGAAATCATCAAGTTTTCTCAAAATAAGGAAACAACTCTACACTAAAACACAGCATCATTATTTATTCTGAATGAAAACAATGAAAGATTCAATGGCTTCTCCTCTTTTTCCCACTTTGTCTCCTCCTCCACAGCGCGTTGTCATGCGCTCATCCGTCAATTATCCTCGGTCACCGATCTATACCTTCCTGCATAAAACGCCTTTATTGACAGGATTTATCAAGGAGTGTGACATTCCTGCAGGGATTACTACAGCAGCGAGCGCGTGTTGTGGGATTATCCCGACGGCCACCTGTGGTCTTCAGGAGACATATATGTATCATCCAAATTATCAAAGACGGCAGGCGGGTTCAGAAGTCAAAGGTAGAATGGTCAAATAATGGTAATGGTAGGGTCTACCTAGCTTCATTATTGTCAGTGGGATGACCTTGAGACCTAAAGCTGATAGAAAAGATAAAGGAAGAGGTGAAGAGGCGAATCCAACATAACCCTTCTAACCCACTGCAAAACAGGCCTCAGGTAGTGTGGGCCATAGAACATCTACACAATAAAAGGGCAGATGTAAACAAGAAGAAAACGTGGGGGACAAATTATCTTTTGCAAAATGCTAGTTTAGTGGAAATGAAAGAGATGGCATACAGTTTATTTTCATAATGAAAAGAGGGAGGAAAGCATCAGCAAGACATGATGAATAAGCAGCAACAAAGCAGCTTCGGTTCCTTGGTGGTGACACCCTGTTTTCTGGGTGTAGCCTGTTGTGCCGCAGTAGTTGTTACTCTTCCTCCGGTCTAACAGAGCCAAGGCCAAGGGGCTTGGCAGGCGACGTCGAGCGCAGGGTGAAGTCAAGCTCTTGAGAAATTGCTTCCATGCTCCTGGTCACCATTCTCTGCCATGCTCTCCATGGCATTACCAGCAACGCAATGAGCTCCTGAGGAAGCACTGCTGGGCATTAAGTGAATATTACCCCACGAATACCAACGCGTCTGAGCAGAGCCTCCACAGCACAACTGGCGGCGTTCATCTCCTCATCATTTATTGAGTATGAAAGGCGAGTTCTCTCGTGAGAACTCTGGCAGGTAATTGTCACAGTTAAAACAAACCAGATGCTCGTGTTTTCTGGAAATCGCTTTCACAATCTGGGACCAAATCTGGCATAAAGTCTGGGGACAGCTTGAGGATGCTGTTGCCTGGTTGTCACAGTTTTGGTTGTGTGTATTGAGATGAGCGTTGACTAGCTCACCACATAGCTCGACAGGGATCCAGCTAATTGCTTGTCAGGAAAAAGGCCTTGGATTTAGGGCTATATCATGTTGATGAGTCCTGGATATCATCTGAATGTCGAGGGGGAGGGTGGAGAGGAGACAGGGAGGAAGACAAAGAAGGAAAGAGAGAGTAGACGGAGAGAAAAGGTTAGTGGTAGAATATAATATTCACTTACAAAACAAACATCCCATTTTTTATTTAATATTTTGTGCTACATAAAATCCAGGAAATACAGTTTAATACATTAATATAAACACACAAGAGTGAATACCATTTTAATGTATTCTGCCGATGACCTTTTTTTTTTTTTTTTAAAACAAGTGGGCAACAAAGGAAATCTGATCAAATCCAAAGGCAAAGATGCAAACGAGAGAAGAAATGTATGTTTCCAATTGCACTCAGAAGCTGTTGCTGTCATGTCTCAGCTGGACTGAGCAACACCACACACTGCAGTAATTTGCAGCGTTGTTTATTTGCCAGCCAACACCCAGATGTAAGCTGTGGGAGGATGTTATGAGGTTGTTGGATTTAAAAGAAGTGTCACAGCAACAAATGTGGCTCGAGAATTTTGACTCATATGTACCATAGATTGACTGACAACATGATAGAAATTGAAAGCTGCTATTACTGTTTCAACGCACACCATTTTTGGAGATGCAAGTTTCTGTCATGGACGTATTAGTCTGAGGTGGAATGTGGAAGTCACAGAACCTCAGGTCATTCTGGTGCAGTGAGTCAGGATGAGAAAACGTGCAGCTGTTGAAGGAGGAAGAAGACCTCACAACATTGCGTGTTTGTGCCGGATATTCAGTAGACACCTCTGAAAACCCAAACATTAACAGAAGCTGATTTATCTGCAGAGCTCTGTCAGACCCACCAGTAAGTGCGTCCTTGTGAAGTCATGTTGTTAAGATGTTCACAGCCATAAACTCTACCCATGATCCCAGACGGAAAATCAGTAAGGTTCCAGAATTTAAGATCCATACATAAAATATGAAAAGTAACTGTAGCTTTTTTTGCCAACTCTTACAAGTGTTTTCTTTTCATCATTAATTTGGAGGACAGTATAATTATTCTGTAGCATCTGTAAACCAGCTCCACATCTGAGAGCAGCGTTGAGCCCAAAGGCAGCAGGAGCAGTTGTGCATGATCCTAATGACTGGAGCAATCTGTGTTTTAGGATGTAAGATGTAGAAAAACGGTTAAATAATTATGGAAAAATATGCAAGTGCTGACACTGTTGGATGCTGGGAAGTGTGCATTTGTGGGTTTTGCCTGTACCACTAATGATGACATCAAAATGATGATTCAAGCTTCCTTAATGGCGGAAGTGGGGAAGGAAAGGCGGATAAAATCCAGTAGGGCACCCTACATCTGTTACTGTGATGGTTGGTCTGTTTAGTCTGAGCTCTGAAACCAAGAAAACCAACTTGCAGGGCCATGAGACTATTACCTTGTAATGAGTTTCTTTCATTGTTGTTAAACTCCGGTTATTGGACTATTGAAAATGTCTTATGTTGACAATTTTTTTAATTCAGTTTAATCTACATTTAAAAGAAACTCTCTAAAATGTGTCTTTGTATTCCTACCATAAGTGAAGAGAGACTCCAAAAAACCCCTTCTCATGATACTAAATATTGTGATACACAGTGGTTACATCAGTCATACTAGAATGGCACTCAGTAAAACACACACCTCTGCCAGGGCCCAACAGTCCCTTCATGAAACCACGTTCAATTTCACTAGAAAAAAAAGTTTTATTTGAATCTGCAGCAAATTTCACACACTCATATCAGTCCCCAAACATGGGAAGAGATATTGTTCTACGAGGATCCATGAATTAATCTCAATTCATGGATTCCAATTTAAAACAAATCCTGATCCAAATCCAGACCAAAATAACTAAATAATCACACCAACAAATAAACAGACAGGGGCGAAAACAGTCTTCTCTGCAGAGGTAGTGACTGACCTGTGATTTTATTCCTGCTCGGAGGGTTCGGTGCTCAGAGTGTGATGTAACCTGCGCTTCCGTCTCGGTTGTTCGTCTTCGTTGTCAGAAAACGTGTGGTCCACAGTGACGCCGTGGCACACGAGATTACGACCTGCATGTAGAATATACAGCACACACACAAGAACTGTTAAGAAAACCCCACTTTCTACATCATTCTTTTCAAACAGTCAGAGCAGTTCATTTGAAAAGTCAATCATGACAATCGTAAATCAACTTACATTTACATTACTTCACAATTACCTCTCCCTGTTCGACCACACGTTCCTTGAATGCCTCTAAACATGCGTCTCTAAATGCCTGCACGTTGAGGTCTTCTTCCAGATTTTCAGATTCCACTGGATTTATTACTGGACTCAAAATTCTCTGACTTCATCACTTACAGTGATTCTCCATCAGTGTCAATTTTGGCACATTTGTGGCAGTTTCAGGGAATTCTCTTCAGATGACCTGTGTTAACCCTCTGACAACTCCACACCTTTAGACCTGTGATCTTTATCGGAAATAGAGATCTGGCATTCCACAAAAGCCCGGTCACACTCAGATACAACTGTTTATATACAGACAGACGTATAAACACACCTGTTTGCCCCTTAACACTGCCGATAGCCTGCTCAGATTCACAGATGGACAGATTGTGTTAGATAAAAAGAAACACTTTGAGGACTTGAGTTGAACTGATTGAAAGATCAAACTCATGAAAGTAATACTAGTGTAGGTATTCACAGTAGGATGAAAGATGGAGTCTCATATAACATTGTGACTGTGAACAAGAAGCAATTTCAATTCCATCACATTTATTTCCTATTACTCCATTCCTTCCCTGATACTTCAGCCCTTGAGCCTCACTTGTCTCCATTTCTTCTCCTTCATCCATCTTTGTCTATTTTACGTCCAGTCCCCCCAGTGGGTGATGTGTTTCCTATGTTGTCACTATCAGATGCTGCACCTGAGGGGATCAGGTCAGAGAGAGTTTCTTCTTTTGTGTCCTCTTCTGCTGAGTCATTACTCCTCTCTCTTATCAGGCCTCGGCAAAATGAAAATGCAGCCCAGGGCGTGAAGATGAACTATGGCTGCACATGTCAAAGGGGCGGTGAGTATGACTATGTTGGGTTTGGGTAGATGTCTAGATGCAAACAACGTCACTCAGTCCAGCACATACCTCTGACAAGGCAATCTGTGCACATGGCTTCTGCTATGTGTCAAACTATGGAATAGTCGAATGGATGCAGACACCGAACACAACAAATGTCAGAGGTCTCGAATCCTCCTTAGTTTACTTCATTTACTTGTATGTTTACTGAAAACCTACACATAAAGATTATTGAGAGCTCATAATTAATGTTTCATGTTCTCCATCACTGTGAAGTTGGCTATGAATCAATTAGTTCCTGGCAGACTGATGCAAACTGGTAGAACTAACAACACATTAGGCGTCATTAGCATATTTTAAAAGCGTTTGACATGACTATGTGTCTTGTTTCCAGCGTGGTAATTTTTGCCAAGAGAGAACCGCCTAGAGACTGATTTGTTAGACTGGGGAATTAGAATAAATACTGACTGACACACACACACACACACACACACACACACACACAATGTTTAAAACACGGAATATTAAGAGAAGAGTTAAACAAATTCATTGAGGCATTTAGTAAAGAGAAAGGTGCCGTGTGATTTTCACAGATGGGCTGAAAACACAAGCAACCACTGTTAAGTTTTCTGGACTGCAAACAACAAAGTGTGTGAGCCAAGACCCATACTGCGCAATCTACAACCTCCATCCATCTTCACTGAGGCCAGGATGGGAGAGAGCATGGAGAGAAGGGTGTGTGTGCACGTGTCTGTGTGTGTGTGTGTGTGTGTGTGTGTGTGTGTGTGGGCCAAAAAACAGAACCAGAACCTGCTGAAGTCACTACGACATCAACGTGTTTTGCAAATGTATTATCCTCTCGGGGTGCCTGGAGTTTGGCTCTGAAGACAAACAAGGCCATTGACAGAGCGATAAGTGGGGTATCCCAGCAGATTGCAGCACTGAGGTAGAGGGGGTATGAATCAGCACATGTGACATCACAGCCGCTCGGCGTGATGCAGGAAGAGGAGGACCACCTCACGGTCAGCCGTGTGCAAGTAATCACAGCAGACTCTGCTGGGTGGGTTTATGACTCACTGACAAGTGTTTCCCAGAACCCAGCTACCCGAGGGTACGCACTCTGCTTGTGTGTGCTTTTAAGTGTACTTTTAAACCTACTCCTTGCATAATCAATTACGTTCAACTGTCAAGTTTATTAGACAATAAAATTAGTTCAAGCAAAGCTAAAACTTGTGAGTTTCACTGTCTACATCATTACTGAGTCACATCGTGACCTATGACATCACAAGAAGTACCGGGAATGGGCGAAAGTTTGCCATGTTCAACACTTGCACACCCAGTTTCACAAGACATGGTGTAAGTGTAACTAATACTGGAGCACAATTTCTTGCTTCTGCTTGCGGAACCATAAAATTTAGAAAAAGGTGTCCTGAGTCCAAAATGAGTAATGTAAACAGATGCAACGAAGTTTAAATTTCATTTATGTAGCCCCATCATAACACCCAGTCTGATATATGCATTAACTGGAAGGTTTGTGTTCACCCTTGAATATGTAGCTTTAACCCACTGAGACTGGATGCACATATGAATACAGCTTTAATACTACGTGCAATGTTTACATGCCTCTCATATTATTATTGGATCCTGTGGGAAACCCAGAATATCTAATTAAAATCAAACTTGCTACAATAATCAACACTAACATACTATCAATGTGATAAGAACTATCTGAAATGACAGAAACCAACTTTGAAAAAGATGATTTGATGTGTATATCGACTTTTTAGTTTCATCCAAGCCCCATCCATGAACATTGAGGAGGCAGGGTTTTTGCCCTATATTGCAGCCTGCCAACAGGGGTCAGTAAAGATGATTTGGCTTCACTTTTGGGAGCTGTCATGTTGTCCATCTTTGTATACATGATATATGACACAGCTAAATGCCAGATCTCATTATTTCATATAACACACTGGTTCAACTCCAATTCCAAGGCCTTTGTTATTCTGTTTAGAGTAATGAGAGGGTGATTCAGTTTGGTTCCTATAATCAGTATTACTGTTGCAACATATTGTGATGAAGGCAAGGATGAAAAACTTGAACCATTGTAATAACCAATTATTCATTCTGAATTAGCAAATAAGCAAATTCTGCTTTGCTTAAGGGCCTTTGGAGCAGTTTTCCTTCTGATGAAAAACACTCACACACGCACACACACACACACACACACACACGCACACACGCACACACACACACACACACACACACACACACACACACACACCTGTGATTAGGATGGTTGGCTCCTGAGATGGGTGGATGCTGGGAACAGTCTCCCCTCCTCTGTCCTGACTACCATCTTCATCCAAAGTTGCTTCATTTTCACTGGAAGAAATTACACAAGTTTGAGAGGAGGAGAAGAGAAAAAAAGAAAAAACTGAGCATCTCATCTTACTGTTCTGGCCAAACCTTTAGGTAATCATCGATCAATACTTAATATTATTGTACACATGGGACAGGGGCAAAGCCCGACATGTGAGAAGCAATTATGAGTAAAACTTCCCTCCAAACTCGTTGGCCTGCAGTGACGGAGGGTCTAACAGAGGCTTGTGCAAAAGAACAATTGAGCCATTGTCAGTGTTCTGCAGAAGCCAGAAGTGTGGCAAACCACATGTGCTGACCGACATGGTAAAAGAACTTGCAAGTGTGCAACTAAAGCAATGACCTGAATATAATTATTTATTCTGCATATGATCAAATGCTAATATAATTGTTGCACAATACAGTGTAGCTCATAAAATGTTCATCCCTCAGTTACAACCAAAGGTGCTGTGTTGCATGAAGCCTGTTAGTGAAGAGTAACATAATTAAAATAACATTTTGAATTGCATGTTATTGTACAGCAGTCTAACGTGTTGACCGGGGGTGTAGCTATTAGTATACTGAAAGAAAGTTACTCAGCAAATATTGTGATAAATGTTAATCCTTCTTAGCCTATTTAATGATCCATCCACTTCTGAAATGCAAGGTTGTTTTTTACTCCTCGTCTGAATATTTCTTGGAATTGTAATAGGAATTTCCAGTTTTCTAAAGAACAAATAATGGCTTGATTAATTGAGAAGATATTCATCAGACCAATAGATAAGGATTAATTTATAGTGATAATAATACAATAATATTTCTGGGAAGCTTCATAATCAAAAATGATATGGGTTGAAATGTAAATTTGTCATATATATTTTTCCATGACAGTGTTTGATGTAAATCCCCCGAAGTTATTAACATATCACAACTACATGTCTATACTTCATGGTATCAACTGATATAACTTTACTGTTTGTAGTATCAGATACAGTTTTTACATACATTTTTGTTCTTAACACATATATCAATTAGTAAACCCTCTATTTGAAACCAGATTTCTTTGGGTCATTTAAAAGAGGCAAATTAGCCAGGTATATTAGAGCATCACAGAGTCAGAGGAGGGCAGGACAAATCTGGGTTCATGGCAGCTGCTGACCTGCGACGCTTGTCAGCACTCTGCTGGAGCTGCTGGAGGGTGTCCTGCAGGGCTCGGATCTTCGCCTTCTTCTCAGTCAGCACCAGGACAAAACGTGAGTAAAGCTTCTTCTCCATCATCTCCTTATCCTGAACATGCTTCTCCAGCCTGGAGACAAAATCACACACACACACCAATGTGAAAAAACAAACAAATGCAGAAGCTCACTTTTGCACATTTACATGTGCGCATGCACACACAGCCAGGAAGCTACATGTTTTAAAAGCTGAGATTTAGTGTTGTGTGACTTCTGAGAGCAATTTGCTATGACAGGCGATACTGAAGCCTCCACCCTGTGCAGACATACAATAAGTCAGCCTCAGTATCCAGGTCTGGTAATGTGTCATTTATTGTCAGAGGAATGGAGACGTAGATAAACAATAAGATAAAAAGAATTACATTTGAAAAGATGTAATTTGCCAGGGAAATATAAAATGAAAGACACAGTCACTTCCCCGAAATCATAAGATCAGTTTGCAACACTGGGTGGATCCCTCAATCCCTCTGAAATGGGCGACCAGTGATGATGTCATACTGGGTGATTGTTGTGGATACAAACAGTTGGCGGCGCAACGAAAGCCAAGGGAGCATGCATGCAAACAGGAGGATCAAAAAACAGCGCTGATCATCTGAACTCCAAATAATTAGACTCTGTCTGTTTAGTTCCCATTTTTCTCTCCATCACATATTCTTTCATAAACACACATTTTACACAACCAGCAGAGTTGCTTTCCTCCTCTTTCTTACTCTGTGAGTATTCGCTGGTGTTCCTGTTTCAGTCCACGGTTCTCCTCCAGTAGCTGGCAGTTTTCTGACTCCAGATCTGTGCTGCGCTTCAGGGACTGGCCAATCATCTCCCGGTTCAGCTCTAGAGGGTCTGGAGCCGGTTGGAGCTCCACCGAGCCCAAGTCCACCTGAAGGAAAGAAGAAAAGAAGAGTTGAAATTAAATACAATTGGCACAGAGTAGAAAATAATACCTCCACCAAGGCCCAACAGTCTCCTCATGAAACCAATCATTGATTTTTCATCAAGTTATTCTGTGAAAAATAAATTAAAACGCATGACTCAATTTCAAACTCAATTTCATGGAAATCGATTGAGTAGCATTTAGATAATCCAACAATCAACCAAACAACACAACCTCATTGGCAGAGGTAATAAAAGTGGACTGCTTTATTACAAATTACAGGAACATCAACTTAATATCTCACGCAATGATATTCTCTCTGCAGGTTGGCTGGCTTCATTATTCGTAAACACTTGTGGAGTGCAGGAATGTGAGAGGACCTCTCTGCACTGACATGCACCAGTTAAGGTGGGTCATGGTACACCACCGGGAGATGAAACATTCTGGATTTAAGATGATATCTCCCTGCTGCCCCAAGGGTACCTGGGTTTCCTCTAGGAAAGCTAGAGGACCTTACTAAGCACATCTTGCACCATTATCCTGACAAGAGTAACAGGTCGGATTTGAGGCAATAACCTCATCCTCTCTTCGAAAGCAGCTATTGAAATCTGCTTACAGTGAAAAATGAGCAAGCCCTTGCACCTCGCCGCTATCCTGAGAAGTGGTGCAATATGGAAGTGCAACAAACCATTACATCACATATTCTCTGAAGTGGGAGACTTTTTAGGATGATGAGGTGTTTTCTTCTGTCTGGGAGAAGAAATACAGGATGAATCGACTGGTCGGCAGTAAACTGTCCAAGCGAGCACACACTTTCCTCTTTGTTGAGTTTTGTCAGTGGCTCTTTGGAATCACAGGCAGGCTTCAGAAGTAATAAAACATTCCTCATCCAGTTTGCAGTTTGGCACTTAGTCACACAGCAGGACTGGGGTATTGCTGCTGGCAACAGAAAAATGCAGAAATTTTCTGAACATTTAGTTGATGTGTAAGATTTTCTAAATTCCACTGAAGCCCTCTAAATTTAAATTGGCAAAACAGGAGTTAAATTACAGCAAACAATAATTAACTAAAGAATCGCTGGAGGCACAGTTTTCAATCCAGAGTGAGTGTCTACACTTCAAAGCTGCCTCATGAAACACATTTTCAAATGGCAGCACAATGTTCATTTGTTTGTTGCCTTGGAGACATTCCCATTCACATACACACGTCGAAAGGTACTGCTCACGATGCCCTGGAAAACCAGAAGGTGATGAGCTGCTAAATCTTCGCTGGGCTGGGCTCAGGGGTCACAGACCCACTATAATAAAGCCGCCATCTTCAAACGCTCTCATAAAATACTTGTCATTTTTTTCCCAGGTTGATTCTGTCCTGGCAGGCCACACAGCTGTTTCTCCCTCCGCTGCTGAACGAGAACAAGTTAGGTTCACGTCGCTCCCACAGTTTCACTACCTCAACCTGCCTCCTACCTGTCTTTACCCTCTGCTAATCCTCTTCCATCCATCTTTCCCTTCCTTTTCCTCGGATTTCTCTTCCCCTGCCTCTCACTTTGTTTACAGACTGATAAATAATTCTGGGGAAAAAAAAAATATTTTCAAAAATCTTCTTGCAAATGCTGCCAATACCTAACGTGATCACGATGACAAAATCAGTGATTACGCAAAACTCCTCTTAATGGGATCTGGATGTAGAGGAGACCACCCAGGATCTAACGGAGAGCGAGGGTCCCAGGAACTTGTAAAAATCTAGAGTAACATCAGGATGTCACAGTGATCCAGTGCAGGCTCCTCTCAGGGATTCTGAAGGTTTGTGTGACATGTAATGGATTCAGTGTTTGTACCACATGGTCCTCCATTAACAGTGAGACTGGTGCTGGTAGAAGCCCAGTGAGAACTAGTGGTGTTTGGCTTTTTGAATAGTGTACAAGTGATCATGGTTACTTCAAAGACTTTTCCTTTACCTTGTGCTACCTGTCATTCGGTAATAAATCAGTAATGTAAGGAGGGGTAACGTGAGGTACACGTGTATTTACACATTTTTAAGAATGCCCTCCTAGTGTCTTCCCCTAAAGCTGACAGGGACTTTGTCAAACTTAGTCATCAAAGTTTTACCCACCGCCACATTTAAGACCATAAATGCTCCTGACCTGCATGTTCACACAATGTTTAACACACTGAGATCAAAACTGCTACTGCCCTCATTCACTGGATTAACAAAGAAAACAGCTGCTGTTTGTTTCTTCCTTCAAATGCAGAAATGTGTGTTTCACTGACTTTACAGTCAGGGATCGTGAGGAGAAACGCCACTGCAGTAAACATATAAATTCCACATCAGCAAAAGTTTACCTTCAGCTTAGTGTGTTGCACGGAGAGAGGAAAGATTCACTATGTGGCCAAGCAGCATGATAACTTCAACAAATCAGTGACAGACAATAAAAACCTTTTTTATTATTGGTTCAAGTAATTTGTTGAATGACAGAAAAGGGCTGAAAGCTCTTTATTTTCTTGAGCTTTGGCTTCTCTCCTGAGACACAGAGATAAAGTTAAAGGTCAGTCTGCTCACTGCTGCCAATCTCTGCCAAGGTGTGGGAGGTCAGACTGTTTGTCTATGCACAACCCACTGCCACATATTTCTACTGCCTTTCGAAACTAAGACAACTCAAAGATAAGTTAATGGCTGAGCTTTTATAACACATGGTCGGTTAATATGTAAAAGTATGTAGCAAAATATGTGAATTTAAAATCATCTCCTTGGGACAAACTTTTGTCGCACATCATATTACAGATTCGTTTGTGTGTTTCTGTGTGTGTGTGTATGTGTGTGTGTGTGTGTGTGTGTGGTCTATCTATTTGTTTGTGTGAACTTCTCCAAACAGCTAGCCAGACCATAAGGTCAAACCCATGGAGAAGGGGGGACGTAGGTGTGGACGACGATGCCAAAAGAACACAGCCACAGTGAAAATGATACTATGACACACCGTGGGCACCGAGCACACAAAGCTTTCCTTATTACACGTCCATCACACAGCTGGAGTGATTAGAGGACAATAAACTCCATTTAATCAATGAGCAAAAATCAATAAAATGGATATTATTGTAATTCAATATGACAATGTCTGTTGTATTCATATATGTCATTTCTAACAAAAAAGTCCAGCCAATCTGCACAATGTCAAGCAAGACAAGAACAATGGCCGCATGACTCACAGTTCAAAAGATCATTAAAATAGTGATCAAACTCCTTTTTTCTTTTCTTGTCTGAAGATAACTATTGTGTCCAAGGAAACAGGGAAGTGAGTGGGTGAGCACTGTGTGTGTAATGACAAAGAGACAGTGTTCAAGGGTAGGCTGGGGTCCTCAGTATGGGATGAGTGGGCAACAAGTGGAGCTCAGCTTGTCCCATCAACTCTCTCATCTGACATGCAGGAGCATGAGGCCAGATAAAGAGCAGGAAGTGAGGGGCGACAGCAGTCAGTCCATTCCTGATAACACATAAATGTTCTCAAAAACAAGGGGAATGCTGCAGCATGGCTCAGAACACAAGGAATCTGTTTCTCTCTCAGACTAGAGAGCCAGGTTCAGATGTATTTGTAGCAAGGCAAGAATACATTACCTCACTAATGATGCACACATCAACATGGAGATTAAGTACAAGTAAGTGAACAACTAGCATGAGGTGGAAGCTGCTGGTGGTGACAGCAGGAGGGAATGCGTCGGAGGATCAGACTTTTCAATGTGGTCAGGATTGAAATCTGACTTCCTCTTGCACCACAGTTTCCCAGACACCAAGAGCAGAACAAAAACATGAATACATCTGCAAAAGCCAAACATGTAAACAATATTTACTCATATTTGTTTTTGGTGTTTGGATGATTGTTGATTTTTTTTTTCTTAACCACAAGCACTTTGGCCACTTCAAGGCATTGAAGGTCTTCTGCACCAACAATAAGGCATTTCTCTTCTGGTCTTACCAAATTGTTGACATTAACTAATGTTGCTGAAAATGTTTCCAAATGGTGGCAGATGGTGCTATTTGGCATAAGCACAGTGCTGATACAGTGAAAAATCACAGGATGAGATGGTTCTGATGAAGCCTGGAAAAGGGCCGCTGCTCTTACTGCAACCCACAGGAGGTGTTTGAAACAATAACTTTTGCAAGATAAGCATTTCAGTATTTTAGAGATTTGTTATGAGAGACTTTGTTATAACGGTTGGTGGATAACATCAGCTGATATGAGCCTTAAAGACAAATAGGTATTTGTGTTTGTGAAGATGAAAACTATTTTACAGAAAGAAACAATTCAGAAAAGATGTGCATTTATGTTTACATTTGACATAAAGATCTATTTATTTATTCATCACATTATTTTCAGGTTCAATAGATTTGGTTGTATTTGTCATTTTGTTAGATGTATGATAAACATTGTGCAAACTGTAAAATATCAAGCTTCAATTACATTATTTTTCATAAAGGTTTGATGATGACATCTTAGAATTCATTGCCAATTATTTTATATTATAATTTATCTACCAATATATCAGGATATGTATTTTTACTTCCTAAGAGACAAACAACCATGCACACAAACTAAAAACCTTTATACACAGTGAACTTGACATCGGTATCTAAAAACAGGGATTTGCTGTTTGAGACATGGTTTGAGGATGTTGGGTTATGTACATGAAACTAGATACATGTAGCTACAAATAAATAAAGAGAGGAAGAAAGAAACAAAAGAGATAAAGAGCATTTATACATAATAGCTATAGAAATAAGTCTGGTAAAAATGTATTTTGTTATTGTGTCAGTATCGGAAATTCTTTACTTTTAGACCTCGCCGAACCTCAGAATTTAGGATTTGATTTTATCAGGCGGAGAGGAAACGGACTACTCCAGTGAATTTGCTGGCTGCAATCGAGCTCCACAGCAGGAATCCCCAGTGAACTACAGTATATAACACGATTCTGACAAACATAAAACATGGAACTTCAGTGTCACATTGGTCCACACAGACTGATCCAGAATCCTGTGGCTTCAATTACCACAACTGTCAGGAATTAAGAGTCCCAGTCTCCCTGGACAGAAGCCGGTCTGAAGTAAGAGCTGAGCTTCAAGTGAAACTCAAGTTACAGTTTTTATAAACTGAAGGGAAGCGTGTGAATAACATTGGTGTGTCTATCTTGTCACAGCACTGCATCATGTATTTAAAAAAAAGATTGTCACTTTTTATTAAACTAAGCCAGATGCAAAAACTGACTGATGTAAAATAAAGCTGTGCTCGAGACTAAAGTACTGTACAACAATTGTGTATTCAATTTATGTCAGAAAAAAAAGTTCATGTTGTTTTGTCTTGTGTGAGCCAACATGATGGGATCTTAAACAGATGTATAGTCTCTGTAATTTTCATTTACTGGCTCCACTGTTCTTATTCTAAAAGGTTATTCAGTGTCTGTGCTGCCAAGTGTCAGTGCTGGATTGTTTTCCCACCAATGACAGATTGATACAATACTTAAATAGACATTAAGGAGGAGATAATGTCTTACTTGGTCATTTAAACACCTGCTGAGCAGGAGTTTAGCAACGAACACACAAATTACATTCATCATTACAACCTCTGTGGTCACATAAAATATTAACGTCAGGCTAAGTTCGCCACCTGTTTCGTCTCTACCCGCCTTTCTTCTGCTCCCAAAGGAAACTTGCCTAATTTTTGGTCATTTCTGCACCCTCAAATTATCTGTCTGGGAAAATATGTTCCACTTTTTAACCTCTGAAATGTTCAGCGGGGTAAAAAAGAAAAAAAGAAGGAGCGAAAGAAGCAGGTGTTAGACAAGACTGGTAGTTTGCACTAAATGCAAATAGTCCCCCAGGATTCTTAGATTTGTGTTTACACACACACAGGGATGATTACTGTCAGCAACACTGTGAGTTCAGAAAAAGAGATGTGAGGCTGGACAGATTTGTTAATCATTTTGTGTGGTGTAGTTGCTCCTTTAGGCAAGAGAAGAAGAAAAACGCCCTCCAGTAAAAATAAGATTTATGTCACGTCAAGTTGACAATTTGGGAATATAAAAGTCAAATCATCAGTTTGTCTCTCAGTCACTCAAGGTTTATCCAGGCATCAGAAACGCATTGTGAATTATCATCAAAGTTAATAATCTATTATACTCCATTTAAAAAGGCCTTGATTTACTACTATTGTCCCCAGAACCATCCCTGGTAGGAGGCAATTGCTGTTTTCTTACCTCCACCAGGAAGGTTCTGTTTTCATACGTCTGTTTTTTTGGTAGTCGGTCGGTTTGTAAGATTAAACTTTCCATGAAACTTGGTGGAGGGATGGGGTATAGATCAGAGAAACCCCCATTAACATTAGGGGCGAATCCAGAGATTTTTATAACATCCTGAGAGAGTGCCACTTTAGTTTTACACTGCAACTGCAAGAGTGAACTCTTGATGTGACTGCTGAAATGTGACATGAAGTAGTTGCAAGAGAAAAAGTGACATACAATTGAAATAACTGATTTGTCAAGTTTGACACCTGAAGGCTGGAAGCCTGGCATCCTCGTCTAAAACCAACAGATGTCTGCACATGTCCGAACACAGACACACACACACACACACTGTAGGACCACTTGTCTGCACGGCCCCACTCTAACAGAGACAAAGAAAGCCTTGGGGGAGTTGGAGAAAGAAAAAGGCTCTCAATCAACTGTTGTTTAACGTTGTTAGATGGGAACAGCTCAGCCCGTAAATCAGAGCTTTATGGTCTCTACAGTGTTTCTAACCCACCGACCTTCTCCCTCTGCTCTCCTCTACTTGCACAGAGCTCCCAGGACCCCGGGTGCAATGCTCCCTAAAGGCAACAGCATCCATTACAGTTTGGAAGAATTACACCGACATCCACTGAATGCATCTCGACCTGCACTCAATCAAACCTGTCACCTGTAAGAACCACCTCAGCAGAGATACAGCTCTGAACGTTTTCATTCTTTGTGACGGTAGAATAAATTAAACAGAAGATTTGCTTTCATGTAGGACAGGGTTTGCTTACATTATAACTCAGCATTACCATTTAACCAATGTTCAATCAACAAACCTCTTTTACGAACTGTGGCCATTATCTACCTTGTACTGTTGCAATTGAATGACTGGCAACAAACTGAATGATTCCTATCTTTGGCTCTTTTGGCAGTGGCCTGGAGGAAACCAATCCTTTCTAATTCTGTCATAATGTTGGAAGACTATAAACCTTATCTTTTTAACAGCCCCCTGTAAAAAATAAGACTTCCTTTCCATCTTGTTGTATGTCGTTAGTTGCATTTTTCCTCAGGGAACAGCGACAAGGGGTAAGAGCATGATGTGCGGATTCCACGTTTGCCTTTGAAAAATACCCACTTGAGTTTGCTAGGCCTCTGTTAGACAGTTTTTCACTTTTATGATAGGACCCTGTTAAAGAGCCTTTGGTGCCAATGATGAAAAGCTCCCAAAACCAGTTCCAGCAAATATCACCCCACTGAAGAGCCATAGTGCCAACAGTTCCAGTCCAACGTTGTGCTTTATGTCAGAAGGAAAGAAAAGCAGTTTGAAACTGCAGACATACTGACGTGAGGAAGAAGAGAGTACAAACTGTTGCAATGAAACATGCCATTGCAGGCAATGTTAGTGGTGTTAGTGGAGGCCCATGGTTACAGGTTCTGATGAGACTGCTGTGCTATTACAGCCAAACCATTCAAAAATGGCACCTTTTTTTCATCTCAAGATGTTTGTATTCTTTCAGTTTTGTGTCCGTCACATGTTAGAAACGTCGTCGTCATCATCATCATCATCATCATGCCCACTTGCTCGTTGCTCAAATGGGATTTGTACATTTTACAAGGGGGCTGCCAGGAAATGTCAAGGGAAATGTTTGACTCTGAAATTTGCTAACACGCATGTGGCCCACTGAGGAAAATCTGAGCCCAAACATCAGTGCATGTCTGGAGGCAGCATCTGTCTGAGCACAACCTTAAAGCTGCTGCTTGTGTGACATTGTTCAAAGTGAAGGATTTGTTAGCTGGACCATACATTTCTTTCTCAATAGCAGTGAAGACATTACAACTCTCATAATGAGTCAGTCTAAATATCGACCCACAGCTTTTGCTCACCGTGATGTCATCACAGAACTTCTGATATGAAAGATGACAATGATCTGGAGTCAGGTGGAAAGAATACGCCTTCTTGTTGCTCCCTCTCCCTCGTCCTCGTCCTCCTCTTCCTTCTTCACTTCTTGTTAGAGCTTGAAGAAGATCCTTCACATAGTTTTCTCTTGTCACTCCCAGTTCACTGGCTTCCCTTGACACCTCATCTTCTGAAACTGAACACAAAGGTGTTGCTAAATCATTGTTTGCTCTTACAGGGATTTTTCACATTTTTGTGTGATATTCAAGTCCCAGTTGAGAGTAACTGGACAGAGGGTAAACTGTAGACAAAAAAATAAACAGGGATTATGTGCGTGGATGCATGTGAAATGTGATTTTAAGAGAAGCATGTAGAGAAGGGAATGTCATCAGCTGTTTCACAGCTGCTCACAAGGGGTTGAGAGTCCCAATTAACACATCAAACACTGAAACGCTGACGACCCAGAAGCCCCCACATAGCTGTCACAGCCCCATCTCTGCCTGTCAACTCTGCAGATGGACCGTGATGCAAAGCTAGGGAGCAGTTATGTTCCAGGTGTCCTTCCACAGAAAATGTACTCATGTGCATATTTAACCCCACACACGCACACACACACTGAACACTGACTAGCACATACAAAGACAAGCCTTGTGGCACTTAATCTAATTTATACACCTGTAAGCTGCAGAACAGAAGTGAAGAAGGACGATGGAACAAGGTCATTGCTGTCCCTCCGGTTAAAGGACCAAGAGCTACCATATTATGAGATTGGGTTCAGCCAGGTGCCTGCACAATTAGGACAGTGAGGTAAAGGCTAGTCAATGGTTAAAGATTTAAGTCTTCAAATGCAATTACATGTAAACCCACATGTAAGCAAAATAATAGCACACGAGATGTGATATTAGAATTAGAGCCTGACAGATTTATCTATTGACCATGAAAAAATTAGCTGCTATGAGCCTTTCACAGACATACTGTACATGTACCTGCATCCATGTTTTAACTAGCATGAAAAGTTTTATTTTACAAAAAAAGAATGCAATGGAAAAATGTGCATTTATGTTTTCATTTCACGTGAAATGATGTTTATTTTCTGTCGTATTTGTCTTTTCTTTTTAGTTATAGTTATAATCACAGTTTATGGTTGACCTGTAAAATATCCCTCATATCTGCATCTGCCCCAAAAAACCATTATTGGTTGGGGTTAATTAAGAATGCTTTGTTGTGAAATGTACCTTCTCCGATCCACGCCGAGCTGCCATCAGTGAGAGCTAATGTAAATCCAGCACCCAGGTCCTCTGCCCAGTCCACCCGCAGGAAGTATGGGGTACTTGGATCAGTGGTTACTGTGATCTGGCGGACTGTGCCACTCATGTCTCACCAACTGTAGACCTGCAGATAATCAAACATAGAAATCCAACAATGGAACATTGTGATTCATTTTTCCAGCAACGAGACCACTGCATTGGTTTTCAGGTCATTTAGTGGCCCAACTGTTAGTGTTTGGCTCTGGGCCCTCCTGCAACGAAAGCCCTCCGATCAGTTCAGTTTGATGTTGTAAGGTTGTTAATCTTCCAGCTGAATCAATGTGCCTCATTGTTTCACTACTTGGTTTTGTTAATAAAAGTCTTTGTGTGTGTCCTTGATGGGGGTCTCTGAGTCAGTCAGAGGACCTACATGGAGATAAACAGGTTTTGGCAGGGTTGTGTGTGGGAGCATGGGCTCTCTGACCACCAGCAGGGTAAATTACATGCTGTTAAAGATAAATACAAGAAGATTAACAAAAAGGCAGAGTTGCTGTATGATTTGAATTGTTCTTGTACATTTATCTAAGTATATGAAATGCAAAGAATTCTTCAAGTGAGGACATCCTAGCAGAGTCAATCTGGTAAAAATCCCCTCAAGGACTGATAAATCCTATTAAGCTCTCAAACTGTCAAGCTCAACTCAGGCTATAAAAGCTACACTAAACACAATGATTACACAGCATTACTGCCCATAAGATAAAACTACTATTTGTTTATTTTGAAATCTAATTATTGGATAATAATTAGATAATTTGGGACAAATACGACATTTCCACAATCGTCACCACTATTACATTGTTTATCTTCTAGAGAAGCTTGAGAAAGTTTTACTTGATTACGGATGTCCTGGTCAGAACATGCGATTAGTGCTTCCACGTGACGTGAGTTGGGAATCTTCCCTGCTTAAATACAGGGCAAAGTGTGTGGAGATGGAGGGAAAAGGACAGCTAAATTGGTAGTTAGCCAAGCTGGACATGTTAGAAAAAAATGAAAATGAGGGTCTTCGGACACTTTGCTGTAAGTTATCACCTGACAGCACGTTTTTTTTGGATTCTTTCAAATACGCTGACAGAGCAAACGATCAAGGTTGTTTAAACTAAAACATGCACATGTGCTATCTCCACACACAGAGAAACAAGCACCAGTGTGTGCATATGTGCATTCACACTAGGACGCTTGCAACAGATTAAAGTTGACCCTTTGTGCTTCTAGAAGGGGTGTGGCTGGATGAAGGGCTGAACTCTGACCCCATGAAGTGAGCCCAGCTACTCATTAGTTACTGTAACATCTGTTCCGAGGGGACTATGACCCTGTGGTAATGACAGAAAGACACTCCAATTAAATAAACAGTGCTGTCTGTCAGGAATGGAGAGTTGTTCAAAGTCTATCCTGAAGTCTTCCTGTTAGCATCTGTTCAGTTCTTTCGATCAGCTCACAGACTCAGTGGAATGCTTAAATCATGAGCTGCAGCTTCCCTGCAGCTCTGACATGCAGCCTTCACCCTCTTTCTGAAGCCCTCTGTAAAAAAAATTCTGCTCAACCTTTTAATTGTTTTTTTCTTCTCTCTTTCTGTTGCATTTAAAACCGTGAGACACAACTCTGTGCAGGCAATAGTTGGTAAATGACTCATAAATACAGCCTGTAATTATGCCTCCTGTGTCTTAAATGAGAAGATCATACAGAGTGGAGAGAGAAAAGGCCAAGGTAGTTAACTGTCTCTTTAATGGGTCGTGACAATTAGGCCTGTCCTCTTGCTTTGCTTTCACTGGACTTTCACCTCATGCTTTCTCCAATTCAAGATGAAAAGGACAACTCTTTGGCTAGTGCCCTGTTGTCATAGTCAGTCAACAGCAGCAGACTGAGCCATAAGTCTTTATTCTCCCCAGGTACTGACTATCTTGAGCTATTTAACAGATAAAAACAGTATTAAAAAATATAACATAAACTAACATAAAAATATCAATGATACAATGAAATATACATCTCTGGAAAAAATTAACAAACCACTGCAAGATTATCAGACTGATTTGAAATTGATGCCATGCATGTAGAGATGCAGATTCAAGACAAATCTGAAGTGGCCTTTTAATTTCTTTCAGAGGTGTTTCACATCATTGTTCAGTGCAATATCCATTCTGTGCAACAATTAATAGTTAACCACACTGAAATGTATTGATTAGTCTTGTATATGGTGGTGTCTTTTGTCGGATTTCAAACCTATTTTGAAGATTTGACAATATCAGAGGCTGACGTTGTGAAACTTCACCATAACCTGATTGATGTGTGCTTTGACATAAAGATCAAGTTTGGAGAAACTACTGTAATTCAACCATGGACATTTTGAGTGCTTACATTCTTGCTGCCAGCAGAGCAGACAGTAATACAATACAATGGGTCAAGGTCATAGTGCAACTCATGCTGTGTAACAAAGATGTTCAATTTCTCTTGCATGCAGAAACTACATTTTCTGAAATCTCAGTCATATATGGTGTCAAATTAAATAAAATGGAATTTAACTACAAAAGGCATTGGTGACAAGCTTCAGACCTATACGGTTTATCTAACACCATTGGCAGCGTTTCCACTCAGTGGATTATGTGGTCACCGAAACATTAAACGCCTGCCAGAATGCATCATACTCCCTTGACATAATCTGGAATAAAATTTGTAAATCTACTACTGCAAGATCTGATGACACTTTAAAACCACCAGATGAAAAATGAAGTGTGAACGAAAACTGAGTGTCAAAAGCATTACAGCATTTCTATCAGACAAATTCCACTGAAATTAAAACAGGGATTAAATATGACTTCATTCAGCAACATGTTTCAGAATAGAAACTGTAACTCTAATTTTTTTACACAGACAAAGCGATCTGCAGTGCTGTGACACCAACTTCCAGCATCACCTTTAAATTCAGTTCGCTTAAAAGATGACTAATTTCAATAGGACAATGGTTTAAAACAGAATATCTTGCTACCCTTTCAATTGTTGTCCATTTTATTTCAGCTCTTTCATATAAAGTTCGAACCATCTTGCTTACCTTGAATTCAGCTGCACAATGACAGGTCATTTTCACATCTCCAATATTCACATAGGAATAAACTACAGCAGTGAAAACCTCCATTAAGCTCAATCACGAATGCATAGCAATTCTCAGTGTTGATTATGGCTGTTCAAAAGTAGAGACCCAGGAACATTACAACCTGTGAAAGAACAACACTGTCCATCACCACCGTGCTCATAATTTAGTCATTTAGTCCCATTTTGTTTGAAGGTCAAAACTGCATAGAAATCATGTGGCTGTCACTTTCCAGTTTCCAGAGTCCCTTTCCCTACAATCAAAACCTAAAAACACTACTATTACTTTAGTAACGTTTTATAGTACTGAAATGTGTAACAAAAAAGAGTTTGACCCTTTTCTTTTCTCTCATAACTAAAATAAGGTTTACACAGACTGACACTACATCAAGCCTTGATTTGACTGCAGTAACTGGGCATGTACCAAACTGCAATGTAAACTGGTCAGTGTGCTGTAAATACCTATAAAACTTACATTAAGAGGAATATGAATCTGTTTAAAGTTTACACTTTCTCATCTCACACTCTTATAAACCAGACATTTGTTCTTTTTCCCACCAAGTTTTCATCCACACTCTTGAAATAATAACAAAAAAAGCTAAAACATTATTTATGTGTGGTTAACAAGCTGACAGACTTTTCCTTACATGAAGAGCTCTGCAGGAGTGTCTGGGAAGGATGGGTTGAGGGAGATGTGAAACATGGTTTAAATGCAATCAAGATGCGCGGCTGGTTGGAGGGAGGGGACTTCATTGTGAAAACTTTGAGAGAGAGGTGGACCACAAAATATGTCAGCCTTAAATCACACACACACACAGAGAGAGAGAGAGAGAGGGAGAGAGGGAGAGAGGGAGAGAGCGAGAGAGAGATAATAGAAGATGTTAGGCTCTTAACCTATAAATACCAGTCAATTGTGTGCATGATTATAACACAGGAGTTTGTTTTTCAGAATATTCTTTTAACTGTGAAGTCAACAAAATATTAGAAATAGAGACAAACTCATATCACATGATCCATGCATATATTTTGGAAGCTATAACCATGAAATCCTTGTTTGATGTGGAACACATTTAATTTTCTAACATCACATACACACACATGCTCTGTTTCCCATATTGATCAGAAACTGGTTTTAAACACAGATAAGACAAAATTCATAGTATTTTCTACCTCCAATACTGAGTGTACTCAACCCGCTCTATCTGTCGCCCAGATCACTCAAACAGACTCTTGCAAATATCTAGGCTCTTGGCTCCATAGGTCATTCAAAACACATACAACTAACCCATAAATTATAAATCAAACTCAGCTTCCTCTACAGGATTATAAATTATCTGTGTCCATCAATCTGAAGAACTATTGTCCATGCAGTCTACCTTCATGTCAGTCCTTGACCATGGGGACATAGAAACTGTCACACAGGTCCATCAACTCTCCAGCAGTTAAACCCAGTATATCACTGACATTACCATTCATCACAAACGACACTGTTCACAAATCATTGTTCTATGTATCACTCGGTTGGATGAACTTCAATACAAACGACAAGAGACAGTCTCAAGTTATTCATCTATAAAGTTCTGTTGTTACAACTTCCAAATGACCTAAACTCTCTTCTCTCATTTAAAACCAGTACAGCACAAGATGCAGCGACCTAACTTAACTTTAGACATCCTTCATGTACGCACCGTTATTGTCAGAACATGGATTCAGTTACTGTGCACCTGCTAAACGATAGATAAACTTCCCTCAAACTAGTCTTGTGTTCCCCTTGGAGGTTTTAAATCTTTACTACGTGGTGTTTATGAATCTTGTGATTTTATTCAAGTATTTCTAGTGTGTTGTTTTGTTGCTGCTCGTGTTTGTTTGTTGCTGATTGTTTCTTGATCACCTGCCTCTCTTGGAAAAGATATCTTGATCTCAATGTGACTGTCTGATTAAATAAAGATTACATTCAAATATATGTATCCCAATCAATAAAGTTCAATCTAATCTATCTAATCTTATATATTATTGTTGACAGCTTAATAATATTTTATGTATCACTTCCGGGGTTCTGCATGTCGTGTTTAGCTAGCTGTTAGCATCTCAGATTATTACATTCACGCGCTCTGTGGTTATGTTGTCGGTCTTTAACGTGCTACATGGAGGTTACCATAGTTCTCACTGTCTGTCGGGCGAATGTCGTTGTAATTGATTGTGTTGAGGACATTTAACGAACCAGTTCCCTCAGGAGACTTACTTTAGGCTGTGGACAAACCACTGCTGTGTCCAGGCGAAGAGTTATTGACATTAAACGCTTGTTATCGCCGCTCATCGCTGCTTCTACTCTTTGTTGCTTCTGTCACTTCACGCTTCAACTTTCAACTCTGCCTTGTTCTCAGCCAATCACAGTGCGTGGATCTGCGGCACGCTGCGACGACACGCTACGTAATCACGTCACTGGCCACGTTACGTAAGTTCCACAGAGCAGGAAGTGTGATGTGGCTTTGACTCGCCGACAAAAATGGTGAGTTTTCCACGAGTGTTCCTCTTCTGTCGTGGCTTCTTTTTAAACTATCGTCCACACGACGTGTTCTCAGTCGGATCCGCGCGACACGCAGCGACAGCAGCTAATGCTAACAGGCGGGGGGACGCACGACGTGTGGTCAATGCTAAACTACGTAGCTAGCTCTGGCTAACAGTGTTAGCACATCGAGCTATCACGTTATGTTTCTGTGTTAATATCACGATATATTAGAAATGTGCGCATCGCGGAAGTTGTGGTGTTGTGACACCGCGAGTCGTTTGATAGCAACAGCGTAAGATACGACAATTACTTGAATGATCATAGTGAATACGAGCAGCGCGACGAAGCGTCTGCCACGTAGCTGCACCATGGTTCAGGGGTGTGTGTGTGTGTGTGTGTGTGTGTTGATACGAATTGTTTATAAGATGGTAATAAAGTGAGTAACTGTGTTAATCTGAGATCATGTATAACATCATGTAGACAGTTTATTAGAAGTTGTGTTTTCATCGTGAACTCGACTAGGTGAGGTTTGTTTTGTAAATGATTCATGTTACATTAAGTTAGAAAGTCTGTATTATCACCTTGTTAGTGACCAAACATTTCAAAGATAAATTGTGGATTTTGATTTCACATATGTAATCATCATATGTTACTTTCTTTATAGATTAATGGACGCAGACAGTAGAAGGGGTTGTATTAAAAATATTTGCAAAAGTGCAGCTCTGGAGTTACATAACTTTTCAAAACTTAGAGTCATACCCTTGGAATCCTTTATTGAATATAGAACCATCTGTGTGTGTCTTTCAGACATCCACTGTTGTTAATAAACTAAGTTAATGTCCAGTTTAGAGTAGTTGATAAACTTCATATTCTAACTTCATATGTCAGGTTTTGTATGATTCAAAATCACAACTGTTCATTTATAGCAAAACAGAGAAGGTCTAACTTAGACAATGTACTTCTACTTTGTATCATGTACTGTGATTTAATATCAATTGTAATTTATATTTCTTTTATGATAGGAGCAACAGGTGGTAAGATTCTGGCATGTTGTACTTTTCATCCACATAAAGAATCACAAACAAATGGTGTCTGGTGTTGTGTGACATCGTGAGAGTAATGAAGTGTGGCCCAACAGTTTGTTATTAGTTGTAAATAAACCAGGCCATATGAGATTTGGATTTTTAAGCCACATTACCTGTTAGGTATGTGTTTGACCTTATGACTTCATTTACTGACATTCGTAAATATTAAGATAGCAATTTTGATCGTCTTTAGAAAAACATGCAGTCTGGTGATTAGTCGTTTCTTTGTCACGTGATCAGAATGAACAGCTGGTACAACAACATTCTTCAATACAAGTGGCCTCACATTCATGTTACAGAAAATCAACTACAATAAATTTGGTGGTTGCAAAATTTTGACCTCTGCTTTAAAACTGCATGAGATTGTGTGGGTACTAAATATATAATTTTCTTTCTTCTTGCAGTCAGCTATTTTCAACTTCCAATCGCTGCTGACAGTGATTCTCCTCCTGATCTGTACCTGTGCCTACATCCGAGCACTGGCTCCAAGCTTGCTAGACAAGAACAAGACCGGGTATGATCAGATACTATTTTAAACATAATTTGTGGCACTGAAGTTGCCGCTGAAGTCTTAAAATACTAATCTCTGTCTCTTGGAATGACACACAAGTCACAGAATCTTGTTTTCTTTATCTTCCTAGTATTTGTTCATATAATGTATGTCAGGTGTATTCTAAGTAAGTAATTCTGTAAAGTATGCTAAGTTTGCTTGTCGAATGAGAAAGGTCAGAATTTAATAGTATATTTCAAGCATATAGTTTAATGTTACAATTTCCACTATACAAGGTGAAAATAGTCCTGATGTTTCTACTAAAAGGCAGATAAAATGAAAAGATGGCCTCAGAATAAAGTACTAAGACTCAGTGCTTCCCACTGTATTCATGCTATAATCACTGACAGTGCTTTAGCAATTACAAGACACTCCAAGTATTTGTTGTGTAAAAATGCTTCAATGTCCTGTCATCATTACTATTTTCAATTTCAACAGTTGATTCCATGTAGTTTACTTGTGTTTTTAACTTAGACATTTGTTTTAGTGTTACTGCTGATTTTGCTCTGAGTAATAATATGGGTGGGACAACAAAATAGATTCATTCGCATATTAAAATGTTTTTTTTGCCGAGCCCTGAATTCTTTTTAATCAAAGCCAAGATATATATTGCAATGAAGTTGCTGAAATAAGTTATGAGTTAATAATTAGTTATGTTTCATGACAAATTATACATAGTCATTGATGTATGTGATTTTTAACTTCATCCCATGGTCTTGCATTTTTAAAAATGTAAACAAAAATGCAATTAATTGCAATTGAATCGCAGTACTTTTAGGATTGAAAGACTTTAAAATCACAATACATAGGGAATTTGCACCCATATTATCACTGAATTAGACGATGAGCGTATTGGCACATTATTCTAATATTGTAATTCATGCATATAAAGTTCTGCTATTTAAAATTAAGCATCCATCTGTTACTCGGTGACTCTACTAAGGACACTTGCTTATTTTTTTAACTAATAAGAAGCTTCTCTTTGAGGCGAATATGGTAGCAGCCTTCAATTAAAGCCTTTTCACATCACATTATTATTCTTGGATGTACAAACCCTATGATTCACTTCAAGTCTGTCACAGCCCAAGAGCGCGCGCACACACACACACACACACACCCACACCCTACCCCTTCCAAAGGTCGTAGAAGCNCACACACACACACACACACACACACACCATTGGAGCAAGGAATGACATTCTCTTCAGACAAACCCATGAGATTTAGTGGCAGATGGGATGATTTAATAATTTTCCCTCTTGACTGAAGCATGAGCCATTATTTGTATTGGTTTGGTTCCACACATCATGTTAATACATTTTTTTGTAGTTATATACCTAAAATCTGCCTGATGTGTAATTTTTAAGAAATTGTGTTTTGCACAGAAAAATCTGCATTTGATAAAAAGAAAAGGATTGTAGAACATTGAAAGTTAACACCAGGACTATTCCAAGTCTATAAGAGAACATTTCAAGATGGGATGCTGGCACCGTGTGGTTATTGTGAATGTTAAAATAAATATTGCTGTCCCACTCATTCAGGCCAACAGACACATCAAATTCCATATTTGTCTCAACTGTCACAAACAAAACAAATTCAATTTCCCCCTCTCTTCCCTTTCAAATACTTCTTGCATGGAAATGGACAGAGGAGGTCTAAGTAGTTTCTGTATCAACCACTTTTATATCAACAAAGCACCCAACCAATTTTGTATCTTTTTTTCCCCTGATATTTGAATTCAGTAAATTAACAATTAAGTTAACAAGTGGAGGCCAATAATGTTTCTTGCGTGTAATATTTGTTATTGTTTTTTTTAGGCTTCTAGGGATTTTCTGGAAGTGTGCCAGAATAGGTAAGTCTTTTTGAACCTAAAAGCATAATATTGCTTAGCAGTGTCACCTTGACGTGAACATTATCTCTTCTCTCTAGGTGAGAGGAAGAGCCCCTGGGTGGCTTGCTGCTGTATCGTCATGGCGTTTAGTATACTGTTTCTGCAGTAGCAGTCCTAAGGAAACCACAAATGGAAACATTGGGGAAATGAACAGACAGCAAGGCACGAACAATAAGATCCTAGAAGCACAGCAGGACCTCCGGTGGTTGTCACTTAGGATGATTTAAAAACAGAGACTTGTCACCACTCGTCGTGGCCAAGGAGAGAGAGAATGTGTGTCTGTAGGTGGAGGGGTGAGGCTACAGCCCCAGAGTGTGTCTCGGCCGCTCCACAGACCTCCAGGTCTGTCCTTGTGTTCACTCATGATGTGGAAGTTAACTCCAGTTGTACGTGTGATCAAATTATCGTTTGTCAAAACATTTCAAACTGATTTTTTTCCTCTTCAAGTTTGTCAGAATGGCATCGATCTTTTGAGAATCCTACACAAAAATCCTGGCTTTATGAATGTGTGTAACTATAAAGCAATTCATTCATTCAGAGTTTTGTTTGTTGTATCTAAAATGGTGATGATATTCCACAGCAAACAAAATGGTATTCTATCTCTATTCGTGTCAAATTGTCCCACATGTCTCACAGAGAGCCACTGATGTTTTTAAAGTCAGTCAGTTTGTCACTATTTATTAAAGAACCTTTTGGAGAACTGGTTTGAGAAGGCTGATCTGTTTCATTAAACTCAAAAACTCAACCACTTTGATTAGTGTTTGCTGGTTGTGTCAATGCCACAGTGTAAAATGAACTATTTTAATAATGGCTTCCAACCTGCACAATAGACAACCTTTTGTCTTATCTTTGAGACTGGAGTTTGAGACTGTACATGTGAAGACTGCAGTGAAGGTAGAGTTCCTTGTAGTTTTTTGGTGAAGAAGAAACTGTGACTTTAAGAATCTGCTGCTCTGGATCATATCTGGAGTGTAGTTCTCAGGATTCTGCTCCGAGTGAGATGGACAGTGAAGAGTTTGCGATAACCTTCTCTATAACCTCGAAGTCAACACTCATCTTCACAGGGTCCGCTGCAAAGAGCTGTCAGTTGATTGTGCCACACGCCAGTTATCTGTCTTTACTTGCAGATACTAGCTGAATTTCAATTTTACAAAGGAAACTATAAGATACTGAAGTACTTGACTAAATTCAAGAGACTGTGGTAGACATCCTTAATGTTTTTGGAAAGTCACAATCTTATGTAATTGCTGATTTAGATGACAAATACTGTTCATTTAATCTTGGAGAACTTTGGCCACAGAAAGCATTCAATAATGGGACAACTTGAGTGTAACAAGCTTACATTTTTCCTATTAAAGTTGTGACCAGTTTTAAATGGAGATCATAGTTTCAGACTTAATTTATATCATCAGCCACAAATTGACCAAATTAATCACATTGAAATAATGGCTACACTGTATGTTGCATATAAACAGTCCCAAACACATTTCTCCTCTCCTGTGTGGTAAATAAAGGAGGATACTTGTTGACGCTCACCTTTGACACTCTGATCTCTGATGAGTGTCTCAATCGCAACACCCCTACGCACGCAGCCCCATGTTAGGGGACACAGATCCCATTCTGGTGCACATCCGTTTTGGCTCACCCCGGCTGAGATAAAGCATCAAGTGAAGGCTGCCGGTAAAGTCGTGATTATCAGGCAGTGACGCAGATACAGATACAGACGCAGAGGAGCAGGAAGCTCTCAGTCATCTGCTTCTATCTTAAGGACAAGAGATACCGGCGTGGGCTGGAGTGACACCGCCGGGTTGCTGAAGCAAGGTGACGATGACACTGAAACACTACGGAAGAACCGAAGTCATAAAAATAACAAAATCCAACAGAATATGCAGAAGGTAAAGAGACGGTTGGCTCACAGGATCTTGGGCCTGGTGTAGACGCCATGTGAGTACCTAATCAAACTTAAATGTATTCTTTTTATACTTTTTGGGGTGAGTATGATTGTTCTTAAACTCCCTTAAATGGTGCATGGGCACATTTGCTAAACAATAACAATGATGAATATCTGGCTGCAGCTCAGTGACTAGATGCCTAAAACAACATTTGGAGCGATCCTGCTGTTTCTAAAGTGGCTTAATGCACGTCCTGATTTCTGTGTTTGAGTTGGCTCATCAAGATTTACTCAAGTGGATGCCATATGGCAAAGGACAAAACAAAACAGCTTTGTTCTCCTCAGTGTGTCAGAATTCCGTTTTACAGGTCATCTGGTGAGCATCATTACCTCCATCCTCTGAGTTTTTGTTTATTTCTCGGCTCCTGCGCCCCTGGGAGTGGCTGGCTGCCAGACTGAACTAACAACACTTAACTGTGAATCAAACTGGTTTAGCCTTATGGGAACTAGCAAACTAATACACTCAATGTTTCTGTAGGCTGTATTGTTCCTCGTGAAGGTTAAAACAACACAAGCAATAAAACTGAAATGCATTAAAGAATCATACCAAGCAGTGATTACCATTAGCATTTTATAATTAGAAAAATAGAACTGACGGACTGCATAAGTTTTGAGATGAGGCTTTGCAAAACAATGCCTGGCCAATAAATTCAAAGTTTGAAGTATAGCCTACTGTGATAGATATACACAAAGAGGAATATATTGTCTGGGTGTGTACTGTTACAGATATATCTTTATTATTGCTGATGTTTAAATTGTCAAGGGGGTTATTTTTTCCTTTGCATTTTTTTCTTTTATTTCATACTGATTTAAAATGAATCAGGCAATTTAGTGCATCATGATTGATTTTAAGGGGACTGTTGGGCATGGCAGGGAATAAACTCTTTTTGATTCCAGTATACTGCAATTCTTTGAATTACATTTGGCTATTTTATTTGCCAAAATTTATAAGATCTATATCACCCACAAGGATTTTAGTCGTGGCAGTGTGGAGACGTGTTTAGATCTCCATTTAAATCTCCATTCTCCATTCTAAAAAACAGAAAAGTTAAACAGTTAACTATAACTATGACACCTTTTAGGCATTTCTTCAAACCATTTCTGGACATCAGTGTTTCTAATACTTCATGCAACATTTTACTATCTTTCATTTATGAGGCCAACTCACCAGAGAGTCTTTCTCCACGAACCCTCCAACCTTTGGTTTCATAGGGATTAGATGAGCAGCCAAGTTTGAGACAGCATCAGGTCGGATAAAACCAAAAAGCCTAATTCAGAACATTTCAAGCAACATTAATTTACATGAATGATCAGCTGTGTCATAATGAACCAGAGTCTTTCCCTTTTCCACAAAGAGGTTCATTGATGCAGACAGACTCATCTCAACCCCACTGACTGGAACACTACTGAGATAATTCAGTTTAATTTCAAGATTGTTGTTTTGTTTTGTTTTGCCTCAATGATTGTGGGAATTAAATTGAGCGAATTCAGTTTAATTTACGGATTATGTTTTATCATTATTTTCCCTCTGGGATTGTGGAAATTATTCTCATTTGAGCTGCTCAACATTTCATTGCATTTGCTGAACGTCCCTGAGCAGATAAGACGACAACTATTTTCATAGTGCAACTCTGCACTTTACTGTAGGTTACAGTCTCAGCAATAGCTCATATCCTAAGATTTATATACATCATCATCCATTAAAGTTCCAGCAGAAGATTATTCAAAACATTAATTTGTCCATTATCTATTTCACTTATCCTTTGAGGGCCAAGGTTTGGAGCTGGAGCCAATCCCAGCTCACATGGGTGAGAGGTAGAACACCCTAGACGACTTGCTAGCGTATCATGGGGCCAACATATAGAGACAAACCATTCAAACTCACATAGCTAAAGTCAACATAGAGTCTCAATTAACTTAACCTAGAGTCCTGCGCCAAGCTGGTTGTGCCACGTGTAAAAAAATGTATATAAATTCCCCGCTATGGGCGTAGGTAAAAATCGATCAAACGCAGGTGAGAACTTAATTTTGTTTAGATGTTTTTTCGAGCATGCAAACCCCACCCAGAAAGTGAGGTAGAAGAGATTTGAACTAGGAGCCGTCTTGCTGTGAGGCGACAGTGCTAACCACTGCCCTTATTCAAAACATATAACTTTCATTTACTCATCTCTTTCCCCTTTGATCACAAAGTGGAGTCTCTTGCTGTCGTTTTGAGGACTTCAAAGTAAATCAGGCCAATAAAGTGTCCACCACGTCCCGCTGAGCGAACCAGAGGTGTCCAAACAGACCTCGACCCTTTAAATCTTCAGTAGAGTCTGCTTGAATCACTGCGCTGACTCTGCATGTGGAGGGAATAAAGACGAATGGAGGGAGCTGCAAAGGGATAGTGAGAAAATGAGGGAGATAATGACAGGGAGATGGAAGAAGGGGAGGGAAGCATTCAATACATGGGGAGAGTGGATTAGTCCTTATTATACCACTGGTGTATTCCAGTGATCAACCTCCCAATGACCCCATATTTTCCTCTTTAGCTGGTTATTTATTTAAAAGCGTGTGGTTTCGTTGTTTACTGGTACCTAGGAGGGCAGCCTCTCTCTTGTGGTCGGCTTGCAGTTTCAGCCACAAACCCAAACTCCTCTAAAGATGTGGAGGATCACAGAGGCTACAGCATGATAGATTAAAAATGCTTGACATCACGCCCATACTGTGAAGCCTTTGTTCTGTCCTCACTTCCTCATTAGGAACATGGAACCTTTGTTTTCTGCCGCCCAAGGAAACAAGCGACAAGAATTTAGTCGCCAGCTGAAATGCACCAATATCCTTCATGTGGGGCAAGTCTTGGTCGGTGGCAGGCTCAACGATAGTGCGTGTAAATGACGCTATAATGGACATTGGATAGTTCAAACACTTGCTTGTGTAGTCTCGTCCTGTCACTCAGGCCTCTGGGTCACTCTAACTCCTTCCATGTGTAATTTTTTACCAGATAATTTATGGTAACAAGAGAAATTTTTAGACTTAGACAGCTCCCTGCGGCCTCAGGAACTGGGGCCCTACGTGCCTCCTTTGAAGGTGGCATCTGCAGCCAGAGGACACCCCACTCCATGCTCATTAGCCCGAGGCAGGAGTTGTCTCTGCGTAACAAGGCCGTTAAACAAAGCTAGAGTGCTCCAGGTCAGTGCCGCTGGAGGTTCTGTCAGTGGTGGAAATGGATTTCAAGTTAAAATTTAGACACAAAACACTTGAAATTTGACTGCCAAGCAAATGAGAGGATGGGGATGACTTAGTGATTTTAGCTCTATTGTGAAAATTTGTGTCCACATTTCTTAATGCAGTAATCAGTAGAAACACACAGGTTGGTCACAAAACAGTAACGGATTAAAAGCTTCCGTGCCATTACCTGCCCTTGCCCTGCAGGTTGTGTCCCATCCTGTCCCACTCCTTTGTCAAAGGATTCACACATTTTGTAAGGTTGTGCAATAATGTTAAAACCTTTTACCTGGTCTCTGCATCTACTGTGTTTGAGCCAAACAATCTCAAACCCCAACATTACAGGCTCCTCTGGAGCTTATAATAAGCATTATAATCATTATAATTGTTTTCATTTAACAATTATCAGCATCAAAGCCACATTGGGTTTGTTTGACTGTGAACGGTGTGAACTGTTTGATGAACACACCCATGTTTGGCACAGATACCCATGAGAATGTGTGGGCACCCTTGAATGAGTCATTTTCTTATCAGTAATTGAT